CGTATTTAGCATGCAATAGGTAAGCAGAGCAGATGAACGCAAAGTGAAATTGATCTAAAGCGAGGGTAAACAATGTAGAAAAACGCATCCGTTGCTGCCCTAATAATCTCAGTGCCATCCAATATAATTATTATTTATGTTAGCTTATTATGCTATTATGTTTATGAACTTGAACTTGAATGGCGCTGCTCAGGCGTACTACAAAGCACCACTTATACATATGGCAGATGGCTAGCAAATTTCCTGGAACTACAATTCATGCCGCATGCTGCTCATGGCCAACAAGGAAGCTACGGACTTGAGCTACCTATTGAGTTGAGCTATCGGGTATAATAAATAGGCAAATAACACATGTCGAGGCTATCAGAAAGCAATTTGTATGGCCAATGTGGCGTATACTTAATATAATTAGATGCTACTTAATAGGCCTCCAGAGGCCAGAAAAGAAAATCAATTTCCCGTAAGACTCTTGACTCGCCTGTTTACGTCTCAAACTTCAAAAGGAACTCGCCATCAATATTATTATTAAACAAACTAAACAAAATGTGTATAAGCAAAAGTTATGCGTATATATATACATACATACAGGCAACTATATATATATATATAGATAACACCTCAGCAGGCTGAGCCGAGTGTGAAGCGCAGTCAATCGTGTGTTTTAGGTATGAGTCCCGTCAGTCAACTGACAGAGCACCAACGGACTAGAGGACGAAGGAATGCGTCGCTGACGGCAGCTTATGAATTATTTATGGCTCGGATTATTTGGTTTTTGCGCTTATTAAAATGCGAAAATCGCAAGAAATGTTCGCACTGACAGGCATAAATTTCAGCTGGGAATCAATTGAAAACTTCAATTGAGCAACGCAGCAGAAGTTTCAAGCGCATAAACAGCTTAAGCAAAAAGACGAGAAGATAAATTGAAATGAATTTTCTTAGTGAGCATTAACAGAAATGCTTTTATTGTCGGCTAATCTAAATATATGCCAAGTGGTAAACTCTCCAACTCACAGTCATATTATAGGTGAGAAGCTCAATGTGAGGCTCAGCGAAAATGTGCAAAGGTCTAGTAACAATGAGGCTTTAAAAGCTGCAGAGGGAGGCGCACAGTTACCAATTTCAATCAAGCTTGCGTAGGCTTCAACAAAATCTTAACCAGCGCGACCTAATATAGGACCTGCCAATCAAATTCGACACAATTATAATTTTATACAACTCTTGATGTAAAACAATTAGCGCAAAACAATTTGGCAGCAACGCCTGCGCTGGTAGTCGCTGGCATGTTAATGACCTTTTTACAGGCGAACGCTAATGTGTACAGCCACGCCCAAGAGCCTAACACGCCCATCAAATCAGTTGACAGCCGGAAGTGGGAGAACGGTAGCTAATTGTGAATCCCTCCACGGGGCGTATGAGTAATGTTCTTTGCTCCAAGCTCGAAGCTCGCTTATGCAATGTGCTTCGATAGGGTTCAACAGATTCGACTGGGTGGGGAAGTTTATTGAACTGTCACGTGACCGCATAAAAAATATACGAGAAAAGGTTCATTTATTTACAGTTATTTGTTTTTTACGACTCGCAACAACAACAACAAGAGCCGGCAATTGGCATTAACCTTCAAAACTATTTGCTCAAGTGTCAGGCCGAATATATCAATAAGTCGATGCGAGCAATCGGACTGAACAATCGCCCGTTAAATGAACCAGCTTATTTGCTTAACTGATTGTGAAACATTTCGGGCTATAAATAGAGCGTGCCATGCAGCTAGGCAAAAGCCTTGCATATTTATAGGCACAGCCCGTCAAATGGAAGTCGAACATCAAAAATGCCCATGGCAAACGCTTATTGAGTTTCCACCTTTGGTATTTGTGTGCAGGTCTTTAATTTATGCACAGCTCGAAATTGATAGAGCAAAGCGCTTTCCATGCATTATGCATATTCCTGTTCTACAGCTTAACAATAACTTTAACCCTGCTCAAGGTGTGTTCTCGTGTCGCTCGCGCGACAGTTGGCGCGAAGTGTTCTACATACACATGCATATATGCGCATCCTCTATATCGTCGTCATGTGGATAAATTATGCTCGCTCACGAAGAGAAAAGATCATATCGGATTGAGAGCTGTGTGTCGGTTTGATGCTGGAGACTTTCGGAATACGAATTCCCGCCTTTCAAAATGAAATAATGAGACTTATTCCTGAGCAACAAAAGTATTGCCGGACAAGTGAAACTGCAGTTGCTAAGACTTGATAGATTTCAATAAATTTATATATTTTATTAATTTATCATGAATTTAAAAGCTTATTAAGTGTCAAAGCTCAAAAACGAATTGGTTTTCAAGCTAAGCAAGAGTTTGGGCCGTATGTTAGACAAGTCTATTGGCTATTACATTTATCTACATAAGATATATATTTTATATTAATAGAAATATATATATGAATAAATTATATATTACTTTTTATTACATTTAGAGAAAGTACAAATATATATATGGCTTACAATAAACATTGTGAAACTGTTTCTGAAGCGTCTCAAGCCCACTCGATAACTTATGTTCATCATATAAAATATTCGATTCGATTTGAGCATATGGATAATTAAATGAAAGCCCCTATACAGTAGTTTGTATGATATATATATATATATATATATATAGACTAGCTATACAGCAAACCCACAATGAAGAGAAAAACGAAAAGCACATTTTAGTGTTTTGACGCACGGAACAAACAAAATATTATTATGACAAAAACTAAATAAAAATGCGACAGTAAAATATAAAAAGTTAGTGTGGTAGGGAGTGCCCGACCAGGTTATACCCTGAACAGAAATTTTGCAATGGAGTATAAACGAAAAGCAGAGTATCAGCACTCTGTGTATACTTGGGAAAGTCAATTTAGGGAACTTAAAAGTTCAAAATGCTTAAATATCTTCAAATATTTGAAAATTTATATCGATTTTAATCGATTCCATGAAAATGAAAAAAAGCTAAACAACAGTTGCGCGCCTAGTCTTTAGATCTTATAGACATATAACATACTGTTTGTTCAACTCGATTTGTATATACTATAAAAAGTAATATCTAATGTAATGTATATTGTATATCTTGTTATTTATTTATTGCTGTTACAAACAATTTAAGAAAACCATACAATCGGCTCATGCTATATAGAAGGCAAGGGAGAAGCACAGCGTGAATTGAGCGCAATTGTGGGAAGATGCCAACCAACTCTCTATATATACATACATATAGATATATATCTATGTATATATGCATGCACATAATAAGTACATATACATGTATAAGTATGGGATGTCAGCTGAGTACTTTAAGGACCGACACTTGGGGTAGTTGTTGTCTTTCCTGGGCAGACAAAAACGAAAATAAGTGGCAAAAACTTTACCAGCTCCAAAAGTTTTGTACTTTCAACTTACCCGACGAGCGTGTTATTGAAGAACTTGGCCAATGATTGCAATGGCAATATGAATAAAAGCGTTGTAAGAAGCAAATAGAAAGAGGCGTCCAAATATACCCTGCAAATTGAGCTAATAAAAGGAGATTTAAATTGAGAAAACTTGACTGAAATATATATATGTATATATATTTAAAAATTTAATTTGAGAATATCTTTACATAATATATATTTGCATTTATTCATAATCAAAATATTATCGATATCTTTTTTTGCCTATTTAATACGATTTTAATTTGATGACTCCCTTGTAACAACTTTACCTGGACAGGTTTTCTAGGTAATTAGGTATTCAAGTGGTTGACCTGTCTCAGGGCCGCTGAGCAACAGCAAAGAAAAGACAAAGCAAGCCCAAATGCTGTAAAATACGCAAAACTGGTCGGAAATAATGAATGAAAACAGGGCGTATGCGTAATGCGGCTGTATATTATGTATAGTATACCGTATGCCGAATGCCGTATGCAGTAGCATATATACCGTATATACCGTATATAGTATACTGCATACCGTACGCAGAGTACAGCATTGTGTGACCCACAAAGATGACCTGATTCACAGCTGGCCAAGGACATGACAGTTGCCGGCAGCCGGCAGCCGGCAGCTGGCAGCTGGCAGCCGGCAGTCGGCAGTCGTTGAGAGCACAGCTTTGAACCTTATAGTATGCGCCTCGGCTGAATTGCAATCCCATCAATGATAGCCAGTGTGTGTGTGTGTGTGCGTCTCGATTAGCTGTGTAGTTGTTGCTGTCTGGGTTTGCGTTTTAAATTACTTCAAAAGCGCTATAAATAGAGCTAGGTTAAGCAGGAGCTCCGAGGGCCAGGATCTGGCCCAGGCGCAGGCTACGGTGCTAAAGCAATTTATATTCATTATTTGATAAGAGGCAAGTCGCTATGCAACAGATTCCTGATACGAGTGTTGACGGTTAGTTTAGACCGCAGCAGACACTGCAGCCAATAGAATGCCGCTTAGCAGCAGGCTCACTGAATGCACTCGTGCCGAGCATGGCCGATACTTGAGATAATCAAGGGAAAAGTCCTTAATGGCGTTTGTGCATGTGAGTGGGTGAGCGAGTGGGTGTGTGGGTGTATGGATGTGTGTGGGTAGTAGTTGAGATATTTGTGCTCAATGTTAGGTAAAGGTCAGACTTACTTAGGCTTTATTTTGCGGTTAAACAAAATTCTAAGAGGATTTTGTCAAATTTGAGGTAAAAGCGACGTTGGAATTTCTAATTGGAGTACTAATTGGACTCTAATCAAATTTCAAGCGGCATTGGTTAAGGCTTTCGGACAAAGTTTAAATTTCAACCAGAATTCAATTAGCCTGAGTTTGTGGGAGGCTTTGTTAAAAGTCAGCTGCAGTTGAATACAAATTATATAATGCTGACGCAAATTGCAGCTCAAGTTGCACTGTGTGACTTAATCTTATATTTTAGATTCAAATGAATCAAATTGAATGAGTCTTTTTGAAGTAGATCTTACACTAGGTGCCTTATTAATCTCTCTTTTCACCTATTCTCAATCTCTTTGCAGCCAGAATCACCTTTGCTACCATTGAAGGAGGACGACTCCACGCCATTCAAAACTCCGAATAACTCACCTGTATACGTAACTAAACCGCACATATCACCAACACCATCACGTGGCAAGTATAACGCGCCTGGTAGTGAAACAGCGCACACATCAAACAACAAGGGTCGACGGCGCAGCTCGCTGACCACCTACTCCTCGCCCAACCCCTCGCCGACGCCATCATCTTCGCTCACATCCACGCTCAACTTTGAACAGTGCGAGCCCAACAACAACAACGAGGAGGAGTTCTATACACCGCTCGGCGGACAGACGCCAAACCACAAGCACCTACAAGAGTACAAGCTCCATCCGAACGACACCTTCGCACGTCTCGAGGGGAAGCAGCCGAAGCCAAACACCAAGATGCAAAGCAAAGTGGATGCAGTGGGCCATATCACCGGCCATTGGGGCAAATGGCAATTGCGTACAGTGCTCTTAATCTTCCTGTGCAAAATACCTTCTTCCTGGTTTATGGCTTGTATCATTTTCACGGCACCGGCGCCCCGCCATGGTGAATTCTTCTGCAAGCCGCCCTCTGAGATTGGCGTCCACAATCAGACGGCATGGATCAAAGTGTCGCATCCGCAAAAAGAGGAGAAAGAGGATCAAGAGTTTACCATCGACTTTTGTAATGTGTACGAGGATGCCCAGCAGCATGCTCATCACTATTATAAGTACGCAGACAGTGCCCAGGAGCCGCGCATCTGGGAGAAACCACAACATCGCAACTCCAATGTAATACCCTGCACGGAATTTCAGCATGAAAGCACCTACCAATCGGTGGTCACACAATATGATCTCGTCTGCTCCCGCGACATACTCGTCTCCGTAACCCAGTTCTTCCATCTGTTTGGGGTGCTCACCGGCGGCATTTTAGCCAATCACCTTTTAAAACAGTATGTCTAATTGGAAATCGCGCAATTTTAATTGGAATTGACACTCCAACTGATCTCTGTCTCTCGCTCTCTCTTCTCTATAGCTTCAGTCCACGCAGCGTGATGCTCTTTGGCATGATCACGCAAATCTTTTGCGGCAATTTAACTGGTCATGTGGCTTCCTATGAACTTCATGTTTTCTTCAGATGTCTCTCCGCTGTCTGCTGTGCTCAAATGTACACCGCTGGTGGCATGATAAGTAAGTTCTTATCAGAAGCACTTAGCACTATCGATTTCACACATAAATAACTTTTGCATTTCAGTGTCGGATATAACAGGCGGCAAATATCGCACATGTGTCTCAACACTCTTCGAGCAATTCTGGTCTATTGGGGTTATGATGTTGCCAGGATTAGCCAGCTTTTGGTCCAGCTGGTCACATCTCTATATGGCCATCTCTTGGCCCACAGTTATACTCATTTACCTATGGCAGTAAGTATTACAAATACCAACTAAAGCTAGAGAAATAAGCACATGCTTATATTTCAAATTGGAGCTCGAATTTGAGCTCGAAAAAAGTCTTGGTGTCTGTTGTCTGGGTGGCAACTCTGCACGCATCTTAGAGATGGAACTAGTGCTTATCGAAATAAATGCGACGAATTAATTTACAAATTTGTATTAAATTACTTTTTTAGATGGATACCCGATTCACCGCGCTGGATGATTGACCGAGGTCGTGTGCTGGAAGCCAAGAAGATATTGCTTGAGTGTGCCGAGATGAATGGCACCCGCCTCAGTCTGCCACATGACATTGACCAACAGCTGGAGCTGCAGGCACAAACGGCCATGGATGCACCACCTCCAGCAAGCTGGTGGTCCATCTGGAAGGGTGACAAGGCAGTGCGACACATGATCTGCGTACATCTGGCCTGGTCGCTATACATCAGCGTCTACTATGGCTGTCTGCTGAATATACGATCCTTCAGTCGGGAGCATCTTTACATCAATACCTTTTTCGCCGGCTTAAGCGAGATGATTGGCACTTTCATTGGACTCTATTTGATCATGAAGACCACACGCAAATGGCTCTGGGCGGGTATCTTCAATATTGTGGCTGGCTGTTTTGCCTGGTGTTGCTGGCTGGTACCCAAGCCAGGGGTCGTGTCTCTAGATGCCAACGTTGCGATGCTCATGTGCACGGCTATGGTGTCCAAGATGGCCATATCAACTTCTCTGTCCATACTGACCACCAGCACTGTTGAGCTGGTGAGCCAGGAGAAGCGCAAAATAGCTTCCTTTTCGACAATATGCTGGGCACGCTTCTGGCTTTTGGGTGCCCCATTCATTGGCTCCACCGTCGTCATTGGGCAACTTATACCGCAGACCTGGTACACTGCACTGGCAGTCGCTGGCGGAGTCTGCATGTCCTTGATTAGTAGTCCACGCACCCACCCGATCTTGCGGCCCGCCTCGCCAGCGTCACATGGCGCACAGAACATAACCACACAGTTCACTGTCATCGATGGACTGGACAACAAGGGCTATGAGCCCAGCTCCAATGCTAGCAATACCATCTATGCTGCAAATACTTTTAGGAAATTGACCACACCACAGTCGAATTTACCCCCACAGCTAATGCCCGGAATTTGGACGACCAAAACACATGAGGATATCCCACCAATGTGATAAAATACACAACTGTCCGTGCTAAATGAGGTTAGGGCAACCAAAACCGCTGTTGGAATTGTGCAAAAGTGAGGTTAGAATAGATATTTGAAATGGAATTGCGATTTTGGTGGCGCTGTGAATTTTACAATGGAAAAGTCTTAGAAATTTGATATACTCTATAAAAACTCTTTTGTGCTATACGTATATATAGATATATATATATATATATATAAATGTAACTATCTAGATTCATCTAGAATCAAACTTTTATAAAGCACACGAAAATTACACTTTTTGACGTTTGTAGGCAAAGTTCAAGCGCTATTCGCCCTATACAATACCGAAGAGAACCGAGCACAGTTTACAAAACAAACTCAAAATTAATGCTCAAAAAATGAGACAAAATCGATGTAACAATAATACCTTTCTAAAATGACAAAGATAACTTTTTAAGTAGAGAAACCTTTAAGCTTAAAGCTATACATAATATTTCAATTTTAAAAGACGCTCCTACAAACCTTTAGAATGAATAACTCTAAGTTTTAGCATACTAATATATATTTATGTCTAATTTGCAAATAATTTTGATCAACCGAAACGTTTGCTGTTTGACCCAGAAAAGACCCTAACATGAATCTAATATATAATAGCATCAGCATAGCCATATATGAAATACACACCTAAGTTAGTAAATGGAATGTGGAACATTTCGAAAGCAGCCCAGTATTATAAATAAACAGAAAACTTGTCCTCAATAAATGTATTGTTATTCTATATGTCTCAAATCCCACACAGTAGTTACTTATCTAATATATGTAGAAGAAAGAATTGTTTCCTATAAACTTATATCAACCAAACTGATGATAACGTATAAATATAACTATATATACACATATATATATATATATATCTCGTCTTGAGTAACCTAGAGCTGTTCCACATTTGAGTGATTGTGTTGAAAACACCTGGAGAGAATTGCAAGAAAAGACATACATTAAGTATTTACATTTAATTCTTTATTAATTAAATTAAACAATAATAATTCTACACGTTAAATTCAATTAAAATTACTTCATTACCATTATGTATTATGGAGTGCATCATAGAGAACGAAGCTAATTTTTTATATATTTTATCACTTTAGTAGTTTTAATTTATCTAAGTAATTTCTGAAATTAATTACTTTAAAAGAAAAATAACATATATATTTTTAGCATATGAATGCGCCTCAAATATCGTTGAATGTTAAATGATTATGGTTATTATATGAAAAGTTATGCATGGAGAGCAATATTTTTTTAATAAATCACCAAAACTCATCAAAAATGATTTGTTGTTCTCCTTTAAATTTGGCGCCGTGGACACTTATGCCCGCAACTGAGTTTACCCGTTTACGTTTGAATTTTTGTAGTAGCGCTGACATTGTCCATTGTACATCGATAACGACCAACACATGTCTGCTGCGTATCACTATCGATAAAGTTGAAAAAATTCTGTGCTCTAATGGTTCTGTTTTTTCTCTGGTAAAACTTATCAGGAGGAAGCACTAAATATCGGACACAATAGCGGTTAAGTTTAAGCTTAGCACTTATTTAGCAGTTTTATTTTTATATCAACTGTAATAGCATACAAAAGCCGTCTTACGATACGATGAATACTATAGGGATCAGTATTAAATGGACAAACATAGTTGCTCAGAACTTTTTACAACTATTTTACGCTCTCATGTTATTAACATGCTATAAAAATGCTATTTCTACAGTTGTGTTCTTCTTCTGCCCTGCGTCAGACTTCAAATTGTAGCGGCATTTTTTCTTCTAGCGTGTTGTGCTGATAGTTGTGAATTGTGTGAATTTGTTTAAGTTTCTTTGTTTTTTTTTTAATATAATCGTTTGCTTTCATTACCATACAACTCCGATGATATGGAACTAAATGGATCAGATGCTGTAAATAGCCAACAACTGAATTTGAGCCTCGGCAGCCGCTCCGTACTAAAGGAGCTCAATACAAACGATGGCGGCGCAAAGGTAAGTTAATTAATTAATCAATCAGCGTTGCCTTACTGTGCTACATGCCCACTGATAAGTGGGCGTGCCGTTCAAAGAAAAATAAAATAAAAAAAGCCAGAAGTAGCATTCACTTTCCACTACAGATTTATACATATGTAAGTTAATATGTAGATCTGTGTGTGCCTCTACGCATGAGTATGCTTGTATTAGTGTGTATGTGTGTGTTTGCACTGAGCGAGCTCTGCATTTTCTGCCTTTATTGGCAACAACGTCGTTTTTGCATTTTGGTGATCGTTGGGCCTCTCGAAAATGCCGTCGCTCGCTTCAGTTGTTGTTGTTGCTGTTCCTTCTGATGCTTAACATTATATTTCGCTTGTTTATATACCCTTCTCAGTGGATCAATGGAAAGGGTAGTTTGGATTAAACGTAAATGTATGCATGTGTCAAGCGTATCAGAAATGTATATAATATACAAATATGTTTCTAATCTCGTCATATTCGTCTGTTTGGAATATACCCTAATAAGTGGATCAACAAAAATTGGGTATACTGTGTTATACAACATAATATACACTGGGTTATACACCATAATTGATATAGCTATATTATTATAGTACATATACCTAATTTGGCATACTTGCTTCCAATTTGAACTATGTTGAATCTTTCAGGATGCTCCAGAATACAGCTGCATATAATTTTCTATGCTATTCCAATACTCTTGACAACAGTCTGACATTGATAAAATTCGGCCTCTGTTAATGACCTGTTAATGTTAACGTCACAGTTCTCTGCGCTCTACTTCAAATTGTAGTGGCATTTTTTGCAAGGTTTTGTGCTAAATTTAATATGAATTGTTGAAGGTATACATATATATATATATGTATATATATTTTTTGTTTACGTTTGTACATAATTATCGATTTACATTACTACTGGCGAGGGGGCGTGCCACTCAAACAAAACTAAAATAAAGCACGATTAGCATTCACTTTCTAATACACATGTTTGTGTATTTATGTATATACGTTTGTATAAGCATGTATATATGCGTCCGTGTATGTTTGTATATTCACTGATCGCCCGCTCTGCATTTTGTGCTTTTATTTGGCTTCGCTTTTGCATTTCGGTGATCGATGGGTTGCGCCCTGAACGCTCGCTGCAAACCGAAAATGTCGTTGCTGCTTTTCTTGTTGTTTCTCCTGATGCTTTACATTGCATTTCGCTTGTTTATATACCATATGAGTGACGCAATTCACAGGGTATTATGATGGATGAATTCATGAGTAAGTAATATGTCTTTCAGAAATATATTCTGTTCAAATACATATTTCTAATCTCGTCACATTCATCTGTCAATATACCCTTAAAAGGGTTTCAACAAAACGGGTAAATAGTGCTCATGGAAATGTATGTAACAAGCTAACTAATCTTGTTAATCTCAAATTCATATATGTTTTTCTATTCAAATGCGAAATTCGAACTCCGTTATCAAGATTAGATTCAAGCCTAGCCATGGGCTAACTGATAATTTCTACAACTAGAGGCATACTGTACTGTGCCACATACCAGGGTATCTGTCAGTTTATCAACATTCGGCTAGATCACTTTTACTTATTATTATGGCTTGCTGTCGCTGCTGCTACTGCTGTCCGCTGTTGACGTTCAGTGCGTTCTACAAGTCGTGGCGATCGGACGTGGAGTAACGCGCAATATATATTTTATATATACCCTATACCCAAATGGGCAACAAGTCGGGCAAACACTTGAAGTCCAAGGAGCCCGCAACGCTGGATGTGGTAGGCAAAGTGCGCAAATTCCAAATATATATATTCAATATAGCAACATACATATATGGCTTACATTCATCCATTAATTGTGCCCGTTAAAACGGTAATTTGCCATCTGCATTTGACATGCTCAATTGTCTATGCCGGACAACGTCCAGATGTGCCAAAAATTAATATTTGTATGTACATACATAGATAATGAAATAGCTGCTGTCCGAGTCAGGGTCTGGCTATATGCAGCCTGGTCGCACCATATGCTTTCTGATGGTTTCCTAGAATCTGTAGGCGTTTTATGACATTTGGATTCGGCTTTCATTTGTTTGCCCCATTTTGGATGCATCTCTGGGGTAACTTTCTTGGCATGGCAAAGTTCATTGACAACTCGCTAAAGATGATTTTTGTCGCCTCCCCCACATGAAATGCTGCCTTTGCTGTTGCTGCTGCCGTTACTGTTCGCATTTGTTTTTGTCTATTTATAGGTTAGGTTCAAATTGCCTGCACCCTACCCTGGCCCGTCTCCTCTTCTTCTTCTATATGCCTTTTGGCGTCTCGTTGACTTGTTTTGCCCATTGCATTTTGTTTTGTTTTGATACCCTTTACTTGAGCAAATATGGTTATATAAAATGGTATAAGAAGTTTGTTTAAAGACATCTGAAATTTAGTACAGTTATCGATTATTAATCTATAAATCTATAAATAGAGAAATCATTTAAGAATCGATTTCATAAATCATTAGAATTCATAAATATTTATTGATATAATTTGTTTGCCTCAACTGTTTACAGGGTATTCCACAGTCGCCAACATTTACTCCAAGCATTTTTCGCTGTTGGTTGTTTATAGTTTGCGGCTTGACTGTGTCTGTCTGTGCCGCTGTCTAATGTTGCACTTAAATACACTGTAGCTGCAACTGCAACTGCAACTGCAACTGTGAAATGGGAACTTCTAACTGGGCATATTACTACCCATGGCTATATCATATCGCGTCACCTGTCACGCATTGCCAGCTCCTCTTGGCGCGTCATGGCTCATTGTGTGATATTTGGTTTCTCTCAAAATATGCAAAATCAGCAGTTATTCGGTCGCTACGGCAAGGAGAAGGGTGCCCAGGTGGCTGCTATGTGGAGCACTTCCTCAAGTGCACGATGCGCAACAATGGGCGCTGCGGGATTGCATGTCTGCATGTCTCTTACGGCTGTCACTTGGCATCCACATGGCGCTTATACAGGGTGTTTGCCCCAACAGGGGTCTAACGAACGTGGCTTTCTTTCATTAGCCCAAGCAGCAGTGCCCTATTATTGCGCCCTCCTCTCTCGCGCTGTAGCTGTGTTCTTCTCTTCTCTGCTCAGCTTGTTTGTGGTTGCATTTTTTCGTTTTGCATTTTGTGGGTTAGTTGGCGTCGGTTGCGCCTCACAGACGGTCGCATTGTGCTGCTCCACTCGACTGTGCCACGATCAATAAATTGACTGAAGGAGCAATTAACTAATTGAATTGCATCCACAAACCCACACGTTGCGAGTTAAATGATTATCCAAAGATCGAAGCAGATTAGGGATCAACTTATAAAGTGAACACTAACTGCGTTCAGTAATCGTTAGGGAAAATTGACTCATATATGTTGCTATATAGCTCTATGTCTGATCTATAGCAAAAGAAACTTAAGTCACACTAACGATCAGTGAAATGCATTGTGTTAAACTATTGAATCATTAAAGTTGAATCAAAAAGTAACAATCAGTGATCTTCATTCATTTGAAAAATATACAATATATATATTAGTATATATTTCCTACGATCCTACGACATAATTTGATTGATTACGAACTGATCACAACTAAATACAGTTGATGCTGACCAGAGATCTATCATTTTATTCTTTCAAACAATAAAAATGATTTGAGGACATTGTACAACATAGATCACTAATCGGTATTTACTGAGATCAAGAAAAGGCTACAGACAAAAAGATATAAAAACTTAGTGAATCTTAAAAATAAACCTAGATTATTAGAGATTAGCTAATCGGAAGAGAGAGACAGAGAAAGGCAGAGTGATAGCGCTATAGGCGACAAAGAGAGTACCTTTGAGGGTTGCGCAGAGTGTAAACGTTGCGATCGCATTGTGGATGTCATTCGAATAAACAGCGATGCGGCTCTCGCTCTCTCACATACACCCATACATTAACACATGCAGCCGTCGCAAGGCGAATTGAAACGAAAAAATATTTTTAAATTGATTTCAAACAACGACACGGAACGTGAAAGACAAGACAAACGAGAGCGGACGACGCATTCAAATCGGATCTATTATTTAATGATGAGCACAGAAAAATCAAATATTTTTGAAACACATTGTCTGAGTAGTAGGCGGCGATAGTGGACCTCTAAAATACAGATATTACACAAGTAAATACAAATATATACATATATTTGTATATATATATATATATATGTATGTATATATATATATATACGAAGAGGAAACGTTGATTGTTTACCGTTTGTGGCACGCGCAGTGAACCGTAGTTCGTACCGAGCAAATCGTGCGTGGAGAGAAAACTTACGCGTAAGGAAAATACTTTCACACACAAATGGATTTCCTATCGAATCTCATTAAGCGACCAAACAGCATTTCGCTGCCTGAGCCAAATCTGGTGGCCGAGGCCGACGCGAAGAATCCGGAGAGGGAGGTCGATCCCGACTCCAGCTCGAGTTCCTCAAAAACTGTGATCAGCTCTAGGAACTTGTCACCCAGTCCTAACTCACTTATTACGTTAGCCATGAATCGTTGCTCCATCGACACGGATCTGGAGAATCTGTTCGATTCGGCTGCCCAGGAGTTGAATAGCCTTGAACAGCAGCACAATAACCTAATTGAGCATGAGGACGCGGTGCCTGTGTTATGTCCAGAGCCCAGTGACAACCCAAGCTGTGCAAGAGAAACCATCAAACAGCTACTCAACGAGATTAATTTCAATCTGGATCAAGTAACCGCACGTGAAATGGAACATTTACAGGCTATGAGCCTAGAGGTATGTGTGGAACGTATGTGTATGGGGAAGTATTGGGTGGTTCATTGGGAACATTACAGTTGCTCAACGCTCAGCACTCAGGTCTGTGGGCCAGTGTTTGTGGAAAATGATTGGTCAATGTAATACCAATCTATTTTTTAATATGTGTGTATCGTGAGTTGAAAATTAATATCCAATATAAGCGGTTGATCAAGGGGGTTTGTTAAAGTTGTCTGTAAATCAATTTGTAGCAATTGCAGCCCTGCGGATTGTATCAAATGCAACCCACAACTGTATGTTTCTAGAAACCACAAATCTAAAGTATTATACTTAATAATATGTGGATTCTATTCATATTGTAAACATCGCGATTGTAAATTGTATAATTCGCGCAAAGCAAAACACGAATTTGTAAATTTGTCTAATGCTAATGCCCAGGCGCACCCCATTTACAAATCACCTGACTACCTCCTATTGCCTCCTCTTCCATTGGGCCCTCCAAGCTGACTTTAACCTTGTCGCTTGCAATTGCTCTAATTAAATTTCACTTGCATTTGACGAGCCACAAGGCCTTCCAACAACGGACATCGCCGCCTGCAATTGGAGGGAGACGTAGCCACACGCCTCAGATTTAATTTCTATTAATTTTATTTTGTTTTTGCATAGCGCCAAAGAGCAGATGACGCCAAGCGACCCACTTACCCCAGTCGCCTCACACCTCCGTCATCCCCTCCACTGCCCCAAGAGCCAGCGCCAGAACATTATTCTGCCTGCTTTTAAAGCTAATGACAATTGCTTGTCGGGCCGGGGCAACCGAGCGATGTGATGGGCACTTTATATGTTTGTATGTGTATCTGGGTGCGTATGTGTGTAAAGTAGGTGTGTCGCTGCCCCTAACTTGGTCAGCTGTGGGTAGCATTATACGGTTTGCTTTTAATATGATTATTTGTGTGTCAATAGTATTAGCAAGTAAGTTAAGCACCAATGCGTTCCACTTGTCTATATGAATGTTGTGGAACGTGAATGTAAAGTATATTTAAATAGGCTCATCATATACCTTATAATTGATAAATAAATTTGGTATTATAGTGGAAGATGGGAAGTCGGTTTGTTCACCGTTTGACATTTACCTAGACCTGCCCGGATCATGTCCTATTTTGGTCACCAGCTACGCTCTGTCAAATGTGGGACATGCCTTCGGCTCTACAGGGCAGCTGCTTCTGCTGTCGCCCATGAATATCGCCGGCGACATCATAATGATCATAATCGTGATGATCTTCACTTTTTTTATTTTTAATTAGTTTTCAACTTGTTTACGTTTTGCTTGCCAATTCTTCGGACTACGTATGCTGTCCCTGCTGTTAATTTATTTATTTCTCATAATTTGTCTTCGTCTTTGAAAGAGTCTCTCAAAGGCTCACGCGATGCGCAAAATGTTGCATATATTCATTTTGAATTCAAAGCATAGATTAGTTATTCCTTATCTATTTTTTGTTGTATATGTTTCAGTTGAGTCCGCTGGCTGTGAAGCCGTCTACGACAAGGCACAGCTTGGAACAGCAGAAGGCTCTAGTGGCGGCGATGCGATCCACACCCCAGCCGGATACGCCAAATAGGGGTCTACCCGAGTTCGATGAGACGCAGATTCCTGAGCTGGCGTCTCTCAGCGCCGAAATGGAAGGTGAGTGGGTTAGGAATGCAAAAAGAAGCATCTTACTGTTAACGCCTCTTTCTTCCCACAGCTGAATTAAAGACGGATGTATGTGCGCCCACGCTCAGCTCCACGTCGGCTAAGTTGGGCGAACACGATTACAATTCCGATTCGGATGTCTATGCCGAGTGCCTCTCACTGAATAGTGTCAAGATCCTGGCGGATCAGTCAGAGCTGGAAGCTTACTCTAGCGCTTTAAATGAGGTGCTGGAACAGCAGTTGTCCAATGCGACGGCCACAACGCTGGACAATACGCTTAGCGAGGCGAGTACTGCTCTTAATGATAGCTGCGAACCCATGGATGTGGATGAAATTAATGAAACAATGGAAATGTTAAAGGATGTACTGGCACCTGAGGATCATCAGCTGCTGCAGCAGCAGTTCCTAGAAGGCGCAATACAGCAAATACAAAATCAACAGCTACATCAAATGGCAAAGCAACAAGAGCAGCACGAAGTGGACAATCTACAGCAGCCAAAACAGGAGCAAACTATGCAGCTGGAGGAGTCTGTGCCCCAACTAGATCCCATTTCAGTTACCCCGCCTTTATCCGTACAGCCCATCCACCAAATTGTGGAACAGTCTGTGCAAACAGCTTCAGATCCAGACACTCAAAACTTGTCCAAAATAGAAAATAAACCTACACAGAATAATCAATCGGAATCAATAGAGCAATCAGCTCCTGCGGCTCCATTGCCCGCAGTACAAACACCCCCTAAAGCTGTCTCACCAGTCACTTCTGCAATACCACAAATTGAGAACCAATTGCTGGAAGAGTCCGAACCAGAATCGGCTTCAGTTCCAAAATCCCATATAATACAAAACACACCAGTGCTGCCATTATCGCCGCCCATACCCACGCATCGCACAAAGACAGCTGAAGAGTTGGAGGAGCTGATGGCCTTGCAGGCATATGCACAACCAGATCATGCAGATACTATAGATATAGAGGATGATTTGCAATCAACCAAGGCCATACCCATTGCCGCTATTGTGCCCAAACCAAAGTTATTCCCGACGCTTGAAGTGAATATAAGCGACTCATCGCAAGGACCGTGCTCAGCGCCTACATCACCCTCGTTCCCAATTAAATCGCCCGAAGAGTCCCCAAAACACTTTCCACGTTCGCCGCGTGCACCGGCCGAGCCAGAAGAGATGCAGTATCTGGAGCGTGCGATCATTGAGCCATCCGTTGATCAACAGCAATGCCTAAGCGGTGTTATAGCCAAATTGCCACTACCCATACACTTGACTGTAACGGCGCCCAGCCCAGAGAAACCGCAGCAGGAACAACAGCTAAACACTACTATGCCTTTAAGCGGAGGGTCTCCACTTAATGGCACCTTTGATAATGTCAGTTCGGAATTACCTGAGGAAGCTGTTGAAAGTTCATCTCGTCGCACGTTCGGCGTACCACTCGATACAAGCGTGGAACGGCAGCGACGAACTTTCTCAGTGATAACAGATCACCCAGACGAGCACGAGCAGGAGAAACCTAATCGGCACAGTGATTCCGAGGCATTTCACATCAACCAAGAGGATAACCACTTAAATGCCACTTATGGCATGCCGTTGCACGCAGCCCCGGCAGAGCAGCAACGCACCTACTCCGTGCAAGATACACAGAAAACGGAGCAGCCAAGCATGCGGAAGACATTTAACATACAACAGGATGCTTCGCCCGCAATGGAGGCCACTGAGGAGAACATCATGGGTAACGAATTTGAGGCCATGGATATAGATATGTCGCTGCGCGTGGATACTAATTTAGAGCAACCTACGCAATGCAATGATTTTGTCGCACAGCTGGCTGAAGCTCAAGCTGTGGCACTGCCGCCGTCGCCGTCGCCGACATTGCCCGTACAACAACATGTCCAACAGCAACAGCAGCTGGAACTAGAACATCGTTCCTCTCCTCCGCTACCCGCCCAGCTCAAGCGTCCGTCCATCCACTCAGATATGCCAGCCAATACAACTGTTGTGGTCGAGGAGCAGAAGCTGTCTGTGAAGGAGCTGCTCAGCGCAGGCAATGAGAAGGATGATGTCTATGTAGAGCACTTTGGGGCCATGTCACCTATTTCTGATGAGCTCTTTAAGCAGCCACAATGCATCAGCACTTTCACCAAGGGCAGCAGGAAATCGTCTGTCCCAGCCAGCGTACCCGAAGAGGAACAATTCCATGATGCAGAGTTCCAAGATGGAGCCAGCAACAATAACAGTGAGTAACGAGCCGTCAGAGAACGCAATTCTATAATATTTGCAATGCATCCGGTAACCAAAAAATGCCCTCATACTCTTTAGAGATGAGCACGAGTTGATCTTAAGTGATAGGTGTGTTCCATAATTTAATATTTATTTAGAGTATTATTAACACGTCCCGCCAAACCGTACTTGTGTCACGTCCTGCTCTCATCTCTAGATACAGTACTTATTCAATAATTGCGTACCCCACTTCCCTCACTCACACATTCTTCGATGTAATACACTACTGTTATGTTCGTGACCTTAGCTCATCAGCTGGCTAGGCGTGGGAGATGGGGTTGCCACCTCGGTTTTGGTATTTGAACTTGAAATGCCTTGGGCCGAGGTTGGTTCATTTGCATGTACCGCTGCCCGCATGCCTAGGCAGCGTCTAACTCTAAAAATAAATCACGACATGCAAGGCAATGAACCTGAACTTCAGTAGTGCAACATAACGGCATTTAAATAGGAAGGGAAGCAACAACAACATGCCATCAATTAAGCGCATAATTTTTGACTGCACCGCAGCTGTCTGCATGGTTTTGTTGTTGTTTTCCTGCATTTTAATGCTGCCGCTGAACTTCGAAAATGCCGCATTGCCCCTTCGGTCGCTCACTCACACACACAACACAGCTAATCAAAATGTGTGCACGTTTTTTGTCTTCCGCCCTCACTTCGCTCCCAATCTGGCAACTCTCTTATTTACACTCACGCGCTCTCTGCGCATTTGAACCCTTATCAGTATGCCGTAATCGCCACAACAAAATAAACGTAAATTGTCTCCACTGTGACGTCACGGTGGCCAATTGATGAACTGTTGTCTGCCCATCAGTCTTTCAGTATGTTGGTGTATGTGCCTCTGATGAGCGCATTTATATTTTTGGCTAATTAACGAAAGGCGTTGCCTAATAGGAAAATTGCTCATACGTGCAAAATAATTGATTTTATGAAATGAGTTTTGTCTATTTCGAGACTTAACTTAATGTAGCATTGATAAATTCATTTTCGAATTGTGCGCAGTTATCGTTATCGCTGACTAAGGAAATGCAGCTCTGTTCTATGAACACAAGAAGTGCATATCGATAGAATGTCTCACATGTCAAGTTGGAAAGGGGGGCGGCAAATACAGTAAGCCCCAGCTAATACCGAACAATATAATCGAATAAGGAACAAAAAACCTTCAAAGAGAAACAATTATTCTGCCGGTGCATATTTCTAAATATTTATAGTTTCTCTTTAGCGTATTGCACCCGTACATTTTTGTTCTCACTCTCAGAAAAAAATACAGAGAGAGCATTGGAATCTTGTCTAGAACTTGCCCATGCACTTTTACTACGATAGTCAGCAAGCCAGCCCCAGAACCTACAACGTGTACACAACACATACTTGCACACATCCACATTATTTTACTCTCATCATATGGTGAGTCTCTCTCTTGACGCTGGCGCATCGCACTTGCTCAATGCATACGCGTCACTGTCACACACTCCAGTCAGAATCCAACTTGACTAGTGCCTCTCCGTGGGCTCTCTCTGACTCAGTTCGTGTCAATGTGTGCGACTGTATGCGTGCGTGCGTGCGCTGGTTTTCTTATTGGCATCGGAGAAAAGTAAGCATATTAGCATTCCATTTCAGTTAGTTTTCAACTTTTGACGTTGTCGCCACAGACTCTTCCCGCGTCGCACAGTCGCTTAAAAAAACAACGTCGTCTACGCCTTTCATTTTGTGGAATAATTGCTAAATAGAAAATGTAATTGGAAATGTTTAAGATAAAAACCAATATTTATTGTGTTATCTGTAGTTGGAATATGTTTGCGCTACGTTTTCTCAGTGAAATTTGTGAAAATTTAACCATACGTTAAGCAGCTGGCCACACAGCAACAAAAATAACAACAATAACTCTCGCAGTTACACAAAAGTGTCAATGACAAAATGCGAAAGAAACAAAAAGAAAAAAAAAACAAAAAGCATAAATAAAGCCACAAGCTGAAGACGTAGACTTAAGTAAAAAGTTGTATTTTTTCACTGAGAGCGAGAGCGTAAAAATTGATTGTGCCTGTTTGTGCGAGGGAGAGAGATTGTGTGTGAGTGTGTGTAACTGTGCAAGTGCTAGTTGTTGTATATGTGTATGTGCGTGTGTGGGCGCTGCGTGGTTACGATTAACATTGAGTATTTTAATAACTGTAAAAAATCTTGCAAATGCGAAATATGTCAAGAAATAAACGGACACACGCAATTAAAAAGGCAGCGCAGTGTAAAGAGTCTTCGCGCGAGAGCGATATCATGCGCTCGCTCTCTCTCTAGGCATTCACTCTCTTTAAAGCCTTTTACTCATGTTGGCTCTCTTCTCGCTTTGTGTCTTGTCAATGCATCAGTTTGTCAATTGGTTCGCCGTACAAAAACAAGAACAAAATCCAACCCACTTCCCTAGGGCCTTCATACTACGATTGCAGAAAATGACTCACAGGCCGTAATTGCGGCTTCGGGTTTTGTTTTGTTCTCGAAATGTATTTGGCAGATATTATCGTTATATTCTAGTTGTTTTGTTTTGCGCCCTTTGCAGTTGAGTGACCTGCATTCTATATGCTATCGATGTATCTGTGTTTTTCTAGGCCTGCCCGGGTTTCGCCTTTTACTATTTTTAAAGCTGCTTCCAAATGACATTTGTTTATGTTGCGGCGCATGTTGTCCGATTTAATGCGACACACCTCGCATTAGGGCAGCAGTAGGAGAGGGGTGCCTACCCTATAGGGTAGGGCACACTTTGAGTCATTCTGCAACTTATTTAAATATTTTCGATGTATGCGTCGTCGTCATTTTCCTTCCGCTTTTGTTTGCAAAGGTGATGCACAAAGAACAAGAGACGCAGAACAGATTTCAGATGCTTGTTGGGCATTAGGCGCTACACATACACAAATAGTGCGGTACATTGGCACAGGGAAGCGTTATGTTAAACAACTAAAAATAAAAATATGATAAATCTATATATGTTCTATTAATATATTTTCAAATATTTAAAAAAGAATTAAAGTGGTAACCTCGATACGTCTTGTTGATGTAGCTGATTTAAGTCACCTATGTCTCACCGCCTTTCTATATAATAATTGTCATGTGCCCTGTGTTTTTTGTTTTCGCTTTATCTGCGCGCACAGATACATAAGTATTTATAAAAAAATACGTCATATACTGTGAGAGATCCTCAAATATGATATAATATAATAATGTTCTCTATTTATGTATAATATTCATTTGTCAACTAACTTTTGTATTTATCTATTCTCTTTTTCATTGAACAACAACAATATGCACGTGCATGCACACATTACTGTCACACACACGATCCACATACACGTTCCACATACACAGTTATACTGAATTCATCTGATTTCGATTATTTGTACACAAAAGGCAGCAACAATGCGCCCGTCGATCGGAGCTCGTTGCTTTTGAAATTTGATCCGTTGCTGGGTGCTCCGGTGCCAGTGAATCAGTTGCCGCAACAAGAGCAATCACTGCTCAACATACTCAGCAACAACAACAATAATATAATACGTGCATTAAGTCCCACATTAGAGGAGCACGAGACAAGCGGCAGCAATCACTCATTTGCTAGCGAATCAAGTGCCAAATCAGCCGCTGGACCTCAAAAGGAGTTTAAACCGCCAGTGGATAGATCAAAAGTGAGCTGCGTATGTTAATTAGTTGTCAAGAATTGGTAATAAAACTTTAAATTGTATATCTTACTCACAGAAACATGCTAAAATGAGTGTGGACGTTATCGATAACGATTGCAACAAAACCTTCGAAAATTCAAGGTAAGCAGCAGTTTAGTCGTGTGGAATGTATGTGTAATTCTTTTATATTTATCAGCTTGAACTCGGAGGAAAAAGCACACAAGTACCACGATATGGATGAACTGGAGAAGAAAATCAAAAATGAAGTGTAAGTAGGAAATGCGAAATCTGAAAAATTAGTTTTAATTGGAACAATATAAAATATGTTCTTTTAGCACCCGCTCCGAGGACATTGAAAAGAAACTCAAAGAGGCCGAACAGCGCGAAGAGGCGCTGGTCAAACGGATTACAGAGAAGGATAAAACAAACGCAAAACTCAAGTGGGTTATATCTAAATCATATTCGACTTAAAACGTATCCACTAAATTTGCAATCCACACACACTCACCCACAGCGGCGTCATTGAGGCTTACGAGAAAGCAATTGCAGAACTTATACATGACAAAGAGCAATTGGTCCAAAACCATGAAAGGCAAATGCAGGAAGTGCAAGCAGATCGCGATGCCAATTATCATCACCTAACGTCGCTGGAAACGACATTCTCTGATCTCCATGTGTAAGAAACAATAAAACCCATAACTCTATAAACCTCCATCTTAATTCTATCAATTGGTAACTATAGTAAATACGAAAAGAGCAAGGAGATGACCGCACACCTGAAGCAGATCGAGGAGAATCTGCTGGAGGAGAAGAAAAAGTCAATGGATAAATTGCGACAGCAGGAACAGCGATATGAGCAAATGAAAAGCCATGCCATGCAGCAAATGGAAATGTATGTAAATTTACAATAATTAGCTACTCGAAATATTAATACAACCTCTCTCTCTCTCTCTCACCCTCAATTTACTTGATAGTGCCAACAAAAAGTTGGCTATCCTTACAAAAGAGCACACAGATGAAATGAAAAAATTGAAAGCCTTACTTAAAAAGGAGGAAGTTTCGCGTATCTCGACGGCAGAGCAGTTGCAGCAAAAATCAAGGGAGAACGCGGATCTACTTAAGATATGCGAGGAGCTTATCTATGATAAGGGACAAGGTGGTAGTAGTTAAACTTCACCCGAGTGGATTAATTTGCGGCCTGAATGTATTTTCTATATATATTTTACGCTGTAAACGCGCACACATACATACTCACATACACATACACACACACATATACACACATTTTTTATGGCATGTGGAACGCATGTTTGTCGCATGTTCATTCACTCATTCGCGTACTATCTCATTACATTTTGTAATTTTTGTTGTGTGCTCTCGTGAATTGATTGAGAACCTCATATTAAATCTCAATTCTTAAGCTGTCGTCTATTTTGAACTGGAGGATTCGCCCCAAACACTTTGTCTAACTATCCATATATATGTATATTATACTATTTCTAGATTTTTAGTTTACACACAACATCAACAACAACAACAGCAGCAGCAGCAGCAGCGGCAGTGCACTAAGCTGCAAATGAGTTCCACACACAAGTTGAAATCCACACACTCGCCTTACTACTGGGTGTTCGCCTCCCCCCTCCTCAAAATGTTACTAATTTTTGTCGAATCTGCCTTTTGTTTAAGTTTCATGATATTAATATGTTATTTGCCGAAAATTCGAGTCGATTTTCATGGTAAATATCAGCTGATACTTTTCCCTAAACACACACACATACACATACACACACTCTGAATTGTTTGTTGTGTTTTATTAAATTATGGAACTATGAAAGAAACTTGGCAACAACTAAAACCGAGAAACACACATAGCGTACGCTTGAGGCGCGCCTTTATTAATTGTTTAAGTTTAAAGTTAGTTTAATTTAAATTAAAAAATTTGTAATAATTGTATTAAGCTTAAAGTTCTGTATTACATAATAGTACTAAAACAAAACAAGGCATAGAAAAAACCATAACGAATCATTACAAAAAAAAAATATTTATACATTAAAGAAAAAATTAATTTTTTGTTTTAATTACAGCTTTATATGAATTTTCATTTGCTATGCACTATGAGTGGTTGCCTTAGGAAAGCAATAGTAAAATTTGGAAGGGCAGTGTGTGTTTTTAGACCGCCTAACCAATTCCCTATGTCTTTGCCCAATGCCATCCACAAATTATTTCACGTACACACACACACACTTAGATGCTTTCCAGGCATAATCCAGAATCTTATATTGTAACACGCTTTGTAGAGACTACACCGCCTCTGAGAACTATAAATGAATTTTACTTCCATTTATGACATTTATTAAGACGTAAGAAATTGACAGAGAAAAAAAAACAAATTACATTAGAATGTTGTTAAAATACACAAACACCACTCCACACACAAATAAAAAAAAGAATTGTATACAAACATTTGTACCCAGTCCATGTAATCGAATAATATGCTACTATACCAACATACATATATAACGGTATACATATACTATATATTTTTCTAAAGTTGTAGCAATCATTAACACACGCGCTTTAAAACAAATTGAAAACCCTTGAGAAAAAAAACGCAAATACGTTTTGTTGTTTGAGATTTAAAATAATAAGAGGAAATTATATATATCAATGCGCTGTAAAAAATACACATAATAAATAGTATTAACGACATGATGGCACATTATTAATATGTGCAGTGGCATGTACATGTAAAGGTGATGAACAAGTTGCATAATTAAATAAATACAAAATATGTACGAGTCATTTCTAAACGAATTTTTATTTTTCATGTTTACAACAGAAAAAAGTTATAAAGGTGGCAGCTCTGCCGCTCGCTTTATGGCAACAATTCGCATACTGCTTAAACACTGATCTGGCAGCTTGTGTGTTATCAATGCTGTTCTATGTAATGCACTGTGGCAACGCTACTGCCAGCTGATCTGCGATCTTGAACTGTCCTGCTCTCTCGCTCTTGTTATCAAAAGAAAACAAAACAGCTTAACAGAAAATAAAAGTTGCGGCAGATGCGCATTTGAAGCCAATCAAGTGCTTACATAATCTAATCAAAAGCTCACGCTTAACGTCATGAATTTCGCCGGTAAAGTTGTACTCATTACGGGAGCCAGTTCCGGGATAGGCGCTGCCACAGCCGTCAAATTTGCCAAATACGGCGCTTGTTTGGCTCTCAATGGACGCAATGCAGATAACCTTAAGCAGGTGGCGGAGCAATGCAGTGCAGCTGGTGCCGCCGCACCAACGCTCGTTATCGGCGATGTCAGCAAGGAAGCAGATACGGAGCGTGTGTGGCAGCAAACACTCCAGAAATATGGAAAATTGGATGTGCTAATCAATAATGCAGGCATTCTAGAATCGGGAACCATTGAGAACACCAGCCTGGAACAGTACGATCGCGTGATGAACACCAATCTACGTGCCATCTATCAACTGACCATGCTGGCCACACCAGAGCTCATTAAGACCAAGGGCAACATTGTTAATGTATCGAGTGTGAACGGGATTCGCTCCTTTCCCGGTGTACTCGCCTACAATATCTCCAAAATGGGTGTTGATCAGTTGACACGCTGCGTAGCCCTGGAACTGGCTGCCAAAGGCGTGCGTGCCAATTGCGTCAATCCCGGCGTGACGGTCACAAATCTTCACAAACGGGGCGGCATGGATGAGACGACATACCAGAAGTTCCTGGAGCACTCGAAAAACACGCATGCTCTGGGTCGACCCGGCACGACGGATGAGGTGGCTAATGCGATAGCGTTTCTGGCCAGCGACCTGGCTAGCTTCACCACGGGTCTCAGCTTGGCTGTGGACGGCGGTCGCCATGCCATGTGCCCGCGTTAACCACGAAAAACACGGGACGAAAATTCAAATTTTATGCATTTATTGTGTGATCGTCTAATAAAGATGTCTAAACGAAAAGCGACTTACCAATCTCAACTATCGAGATCACGGAGGCTCGCGTGCATTAGGCTTTAGGTCCAACCTGTCTTTGCCTTCGGAATGCCTACCATTTGAATCCCAAATAGTTGCCAATTTAATCAAATTAGATGCGTTAATATATATAAAAATAAATGCTGTTTATTTAATTCATATGATCTTAATTTGTGTGTTGTGCTTAACGAGGGCACATAGCATGACGACCTCCATCGACGGGCAAATTGACGCCCGTTGTAAAGCTGGCATCGTCGCTAGCAAGGAATGCAATAGCAGCGGCTACTTCTTCCACATTGCCGGGGCGACCCAGTGCATGCGTTTCCTTGCAGTGCTCCAGAAACTTTTCATAGCTTGCATCATCTAGGCCGCCACGTTTCTGGAGTTCCGTGATAACGACACCGGGATTAACAGAGTTGACCCGCACGCCCTTAGCAGCCAGCTCCAGAGCAACGCAGCGTGTGAATTGATCCACGGCTGACTTGGACACATTGTAGGCGAGCACGCCGGGAAAGGCGCGCAAGCCACAGACGCTGGACACATTCACAATGCTGCCCTTCGTCTTGATTAGCTCCGGTGTGGCCAACATGGTCAGCTGGTAGACCGCACGTACATTGGTGTTCATCAAGCGATCGTACTGAGCCATAGATGTGTTCTCTATGGTGGCCATTTCAATTATGCCGGCATTGTTGACCAGCACATCCAGTTTGCCGTATTTTTTCAATGTTGCTGCCATTATTTGCTCTACATCCACCTCTTTGTCCATGTCCGCTTGCACCTGCAACGCCGGCGCACCACCTGCCGACAGAATATTATCCGCCGTTTCCTTTAGTTTCTCCACATTGCGACCCACAATGACCAGCTGACCGCCCAGGCTGGCCAGATGTACTGCAGTGGCCGCACCTATGCCAGAGCTGGCACCTGTCACAATGATTACCTTGTCTTTGAAATTTGGCATATTTATGCTGCAGCAGGTGGTGGGACTGGCCTTAATAATGGTTCAACCACAAATGATTCGCCCACTTGACATTGACGTTGTCAGCAGCGCAGAAAGCCGATAAGAATCCATATCGATAAGCTGCGACAGTGTTGCCGATCGAGCAAAAAGTAGCTAAAATTCAGCCCCAGCTACTACACAATTAGATATATTCAGGTTTAAAGTTGTGAAATTCAAATTGAGTTTGAGTTGATAACAAGTTTAATTAATAAACCACAATTGATATTGTTGTTCACACTGGTGTGAAGTTTGAATCGTGATTACAGCTGCTAATTGAGTTGTTTATAGCGAATATTGTTTTTGTTTTAATAAATGCAAAAATATATTTACTTATATGTTGAAAAATACAAAATTAACGTGGGCACATGGCATGCCGGCCGCCATCTACGGCCAGGCTAACTCCCGTAGTAAAGCTGGACGCATCGCTTGCTAGAAAAGCAATCGCGGCGGCCACCTCCTTCACATCACCGGGCCGCCCCAAGGCGTGTGTGGTCCTCGAATGCTCCAGAAATTGTTGATAGGTAGCCTCGTCCATGCCGCCGCGTTTGTGTATTTCAGTAATAATCACGCCGGGATTAACAGAGTTCACTCGTACGCCTTTGCTAGCCAGCTCCAAGGCGACACAGCGCGTGAATTGATCCAGGGCTGCCTTGGACACATTGTAGGCCAATACGCCGGGAAATGAGCGTATGCCATTCACGCTGGACACATTGACAATGCTGCCCTTGGTCTTAACCAGCTCTGGTGTAGCTAACATGGTTAGTTGGTACACAGCTCGCATATTGGTGTTCATCACGCGATCGTACTGACCCAACGAAGTATTTTCAATTGAGCCTCTTTCCAATATTCCAGCATTGTTGATCAACACATCGATGCGTCTGTGCTTGGCCAGCGTAACCTTAATAATTTGCTCCACATCCGCCTCCTTGTCCATGTCTGCCTGCAACTGCAGTGCAGCGGCGCCACCGGCAGCAAGAATATTATCCGCTGTCTCCTTTAGCTTTTCTACATTTCGGCCAACAATGGTCAGCAGACCACCTAAGCTAGCAAGATGTACAGCAGCCGCCGCTCCAATGCCAGAGCTGGCACCGGTTACAATAACTACTTTGTCCTTGAACGTTGACATCACGAAGGGCGAAACAAAATGATCTACTGGAGGTGATACCGATAACTAATTAAAACGATAACATTTCATAACCAAATGATTTGGTTATAAAAGCTTTCTCCAATCAGCTGCGCAAAGCTTTTTATTATTATTAGCAACTCAACCGCTTGAAATATAAGCAAGTTGCACTGCTTTCGTAATATCAAACAAATTTGCACTGCTTTTGTAATATCAAACAAATTTGCACTGCTTTCTCAATATCAAACAAATTTGCTCTGTATTCGTAATATCAAACAAATTTGCACTGTTTTTTTAAACTTAGATGTTGTTTTTATTCTCTTTAAAAAAACCGCTACGATTATGCTGCTCGTATTGTTGTGTGGACGCTTCTTAAGCCTCGTAGCCGTATGATTTGATAATCTTGTTGAAGGGTTCAGCAGCCTTGGCAATGTTCTCGCGCGCCTTCGCCGTCAACTTCTTCATCTCTCTGTTGTGCTTGAGGGTGATGCGGAGCTTGGATTTGCGCTTACGCTCCAAACTCTTGATCACATCCTGGTAATGCCAGCCTACCTCGTGCGACAGACGCCCAACCATGCAGTATTTACGGTCAGAACGCAGGGTCAGCACGCGCATAGCAATGGGCACAACGACACGACGACGCTTGTCGTAGGGCGATGGAATACCATCAAAGACACGCAGACGAGCGAGAGCAGCCTGGCCACGCTTGGTCTTGTGTGGGATCATGCCTGGAATGCCAAAAGAATATCTTTTAGTCAAATATTTAAAAGGCATTATACAGAGATAACGTAATTAAACGAATCAGTTAATGATTGGTTACACGATTTCTCGTTCAAATAATGTAGGTAAGATATTAATCATCATGGTAAGAGTTGAACCTGATCAGTCAATGCTACACAAACGTACCTGAAATACAAATAACAATAATTAGTAAAGGCTCATAGCTTACAAATAGTATTATAGAATATTTGACTTGTCTGCACTCAGTTCGGGTTTGTTTACATGGATTTTCTCTATGTTCAAATAATGTAGGTAATAAGTTTTCCACATCATGGTAAACAACAATCTACGAGGTTTGACAGAGCCATATGATCATAACGCACCTCGTACAGCCTTGTAGAAAATTCTGGATGGGGCACGGAAGTGGAAGGGACCACGAGCTGGGTTAACGTTGCACCGTTTGCGCAAATAGGCCAAAAACTTAATTTTGTTTCTGTAGAAGTGACCAGAAAGGTTCAGCTCCTCGCAACGTACAACAGCCACCTTGCCGCCCTGCAACAGGTACTTGGCAACCACGGAGGCCAGACGGCCAAGCAAATGGCCGCGTCCATCAATAACAACGGTCTAAAAATGTAACAATAAAAACAATTACTTTTTTACCACAAAAAAATTGGGTTATGTTGAGCGACAGGGCATAAACAAATGTGTGCAGCGACAGAAAATACATAAAAATTCGATTTTACACATTATTTTGGATCCAGAAATGGAATATAAACCACTCGCTCCTCTCATGCATTTATCCATTTTCATTAGCACTTCCGCGCCTGCCATTTTTTAGGCTGCTATTGGGCACGTGTACACGAACACAAGTTTTCTCAACTAAAAACAACGCTACATCGCAGTTAAAATCCACAATAATGCACATTTGTCTACAGCACATAGTTTAATTAACCTTTTGCACACATTTGTAACATTGCCCCATCCCGCAAACATATTTTTATTTGCCAAAATTATTGCACTTACCCTATTCGTTAAACCAGTCATGTTTAAGAACCGCACGGAAAGAAAGCGGAAACTGCTTTGACAGCTCAGGCGTCATACGGCAGGGTTGCTTTGGGCTATTGCATAGAGACAAATGCTACTTGCTACAGGTATGCAATAGATATTGTTGTCAATTGTATATTATCAATTAATATCTCTGTTGTATTTTGACGTATCTTTGTGTTTTCGGTGTATGGTCACACTGCTGAAAGATTTATTCTTAGGTGTATTTTTGACGGCGGATAAAGCGGATCGCTCGCCTCTCGCGTTGTCAATTTGTTTACAATAAAACTAAATGAAACGAAAATATAAATAATTATTTATTGAAAACGTGCTGCCAAAGGTTGGTAATGCAAATGTAACTCGTGTGTGTGCTTGTGCGAAAAGTGTGTTAAGCACACAAAGATCTAAGTAAAGTGTCTTGTGAGCGTGTGTAGGTGTGTGCTCGGATTCTGCTCAGTTTGCCCCAAAAACCAAAACAACAAATAAGCTATAAACCAACGGGATCAAAAGCAAAGCAGCGACGTCGGCAGCAGCAGTAGCAGAACGTCGACGCTTTTATTGTCGACAGGAAAAGTCAACACCTTATAAGGCAAGTCTTTATTTTATTATAAATGTAGAAGCGCAGTGTGGTGGGCGGGGGCAGGTTTGCATTGGCATACAAATGTTATTTGTGTTTGGATTTTTCTAGCATGCCGACAATGTTGCTTCATAATAATAATAATGAATGATAACTCTTGCTGTTTAATTAAATGCAATTCACAAAAACAACAACAGAAGCACGCTATTCATAAAGCTTTGTGTTCTCTCTCTCAGACACTCTCCCTTGAGCTGACCCGTTTAACTATCTTTTGACGTTATGCCTTTCCCTCTGTTTTCGGAGGCTCAAGTTTTCATCCGTCTTGTGGTTTACTTTTTCCTTTTGCTAATTTTTAAATTGGGTCAATGCATGCGTCGGACAATTTACTTGTTTTTCTTTTCAGCGTTCTCATATGTATTTTTTTGCTTTGTTGGTTTGTTGTTGCCGAACCAGTTTCTTAACCTTGTTTCCTCTCCAAGTGCAATTGCCGCTTGACTCTTGCTTTTTGACAATTTGAATGTTCTACTTTTTCGCGACAAAATTCGGTGAGTGTGCTTGTGTGTTTGTGTTTGTGTTGCCAGTGACAACTTAAACGAACGTTGGCTTCATAACGGCATTAATGAGATTTGCTGAATTATGTTCAGTTAACATGCGACGGAAAAGAACCAAGACAAAAATAGAAAATGGAATATTTTTTTGTGTCGTCGATATAGTGAAATTAAATGCGTGTTCTACGCTTAGCAACACTCCTTATTCTTCGGTCACAAAGGAAAATGATGACTCCTAACTCTCGCATACACACACATATATATATATATATATATATATATATATATATATATATATATATATGTATTAGTATAAGCGCATGTGTGCATAGCATGGACGCGCAGTGCTTTTAAGCGGATTTATAAAATTCCAATTAGAGTGTTAGCGATAAAACAGAACAAACAGCTGATCAGCTCATTGCCATTGCCAGTAGTGGTAAACGTTACGATTTGATGCGGTGCTGATTAACGCGCTAGAAACATGTGAAACAACAAATAAAATTTAATTCTAACTGTAAGTATTAAATATATTTATGTATATAAATTGGTTCGATTTCATTTCGTCTTGCAGATGTCAAACTTGAACTTCTATGAACTGCTTAATGCGAACGCAACGGCAACATTTGAAGAGCTTAAGCGCAATTATAAACAATTAATACTACGATGTCATCCCGATAAATTACAACAACAAGCTGTAGATGTAGCTGTAAATGTAACCACGAACGAGAGCGAACCAAATCGGCAGAGCGACAGCAATTTCAATGCGATAAATGAAGCCTGGAATACGCTTAAAGATCCCATAAAGCGTAAACACTATGATGCCGAATTATTGCAGTCGAAGTTTGAAACACACAATAATATCTATGCCACTATAACGTTAAACGACATGCACAGCACTCGAGTCGAAATGGTTGAAGATGACGAGGAGGGGGATGAGAATGAAACCGACGCAGACAAAGAGTCGGCGACAACAACAACAAAGTGGAGCTCGGCCTATGCGTACAATTGTCGCTGCGGCGGACAATACGTGCTGCTGGACGATGAGTCACAAAGAGAGCAGCAGCTGAGGGCAAGTGAAATGATTGTCGAGTGCAGTGAATGTTCTCTAGTGATAATTGTGAAACCAGACGCGAATATATCATAAAACTGTAATGCCCATACATTTGTATGTAATAAATTGTAAAACCAACTTGCGTACCGTTCCTTTATCATGCCTTACAAGAAAGAACAATAACAATATTGATTTCAGCTATCGAATTAAGCGCTGATTGTTGTCATCGTTAATCGGTTTCTTGAACCTTGGGCCATGCGAGTCGTTTTGATACGCATGCAAAACTGGTTGTATCGTGCATACTTAATGCCCTTCCTTTCTTTTCACTTCTTGTTGTTTGCCCAACACCAAACCACACCAAATGATGTAATATTTTCGTATCGTGTACACATAATTTGGGATTGCAGTCACTGTCAACCATTTTTCATTTCCGTTGTGCAAAATAAATGTCTTTATTAATGCTGTTTATGTCTTTGACGCGTGTGAATTGTCTCCAGGCGTTATGTGGGCCACATTCAAATTGCCAAATGCGATAAGGCCTAGCCAAAAAAGAGAAAGAAAGATAATACTGCTTCCCCCGCGTAAGCAAAATATTGCAGCTTATGCGGGTTAATTTATGTGCGTGTTGCCCCACTGTGCAGCTGAAGTGAAGCTGCTGTAGAGATAGACATAATTTCATAGCACTTTGCACCCAGCTGCTTGAAATTAAATAGTATTTTTAACAGAGCAGCAAAGTTTGTTGACTTTGTTCTGTCGATTCGTTTCAGTTTTACAAATGGCAGCAAATAACAATTCCAACGGTGAACCGTTACCTCAACTAAATCTATTTGAGATATATGTACATACACACATATGTACAAACATATAAGTTATTTATACACATTTAAGCGGCTTTTATGTGTATGTATTTTAAAGTAATTACTGTCAAATATTTTTTACTATATATTTTATTTTGTTTTTGTCTTTTATTTATTTTTTTTGTTGAGGGGGACAGCCAAATTCGAACAACCTCGCCTCGTTTTTGCCGGCTTATGTCTGATCTGATGATGTCAGCGTGTACGCAATTAACATACAAAAATACAAAAGTATAAACATTTGCAAGTTAGCAGAAACACGGTCATTGGAAATTCATTTGTTTATGATATTATTGCAAAGTAATTTGCATGCTGTTTTTCTCTCTTAACAAAACTCTTGTCTATTTATCTAATGCCTGCTCTCTCGCGCACGTTTAGTGCATAAGTGCGTGCGTTTTATTGATAATTAACAGTGTCTGAGCTTTCGTTTTCAGCTCGATAAAAGTAGCGACTCGATTTCCAGCACATTAATTACGCCGGCTGACGTGGAAAACAAAAGCGACTGAGCATGAACTAGTACTCATGCAGGCCATAGTGCATGTGCGTGTGTGTGTATATATATACATATATATATATATATGTGTGTGTGTGTGTGTGTGTAATAGTGTGTGTGTGTGTGTGTGTGTGTGTGTTTACGTTTATCTTTATCTCTTTTGCATCTCTTACTTTAATAACCTTTTGACACACAAAAATTGAAACGCTTTAGCGGCTTCAGTTCCTATAGATGTCTCGCTAGCGCTCTTTCTTACTCTCCCTCTCTCTCTCTCTCGCCATCTTCTACTACTATTGTTACGTGCACTTGTTGTGACACGCGCTACGATTTTAAAGATAGCGGTTAGTACATGTGTGTGCAATGGCCCACACACTATTAAAACGAATTCAACTCCAACACTATCTCTAGCTCCATCTCCAACTCCAGCTCCAGCTCGTCAACCGTCTCCGTCTACCACTTTCATTTCGTTTTCACTGCGCATTAACGACGCTCGAGCAGCTTTAATTGCTTAAGAAAATGGCAGAAGCAAACGAAACACAAAACACCGGCTGAAAATAACAGAAACAAAAAAGAGCAACAACAGCTAAGACTGCACGACACACGTTATGTTTTTTGTAAAGAAAGCACAAGTTTGTTGCGCAGGAAATTGCGTGGAAAATTGACCACTTCAGCCAGGCCATAGTGTTTGATAGTCAGTTTGTCATTCCATCAAACAGTTATATTGAAAGCTGAGCGTTGATGAAAGAACGAGTTCCTTTAGCAATGAACCTTGAACTAGTATTGTTAAGCTGCTAAGGGTCTAGCATAATTACAGAAAATACTCAATTAAATATAATATATGTTATTTGGCATTAAATATTTCAGTGCAAGTCTGTCCTTGGGTGTGAATCACACGGCTCTGTTCGTATTTATTGATTCAGCTGAATTGTGAAAGAACAGCAAAGCAAAACCGCGAAATGATATTAATAAGCGAGTGATAAAAGCAAATGCAACTTGCCCAGTGCCAGTGCCGGAGTAGGTCTTCTCTGTTTTTTCTTTTCTTTTATTGTTATTATGTTGTTGTTTTTTCTTTTCTTCCATACTGTTCACAATCTTTTCTTTTGCCTACGCTTTATGTCTTTCTTTCGATTTTAATTACACAAAAGTGCCAATTAATTGTTGCTTTTATTTCAAGCCTCGGAGGCAAAGTCAGTCTCATTTGGAATTGTGTTCTACGTTTCTACAGGTTCGTCTCGTTTTGAAGGTGTTGTTGTGTGGATTGTCCGTGGCGAGGTGAAAAGATGGCCACAATTAGAGCGGATCGAGAACTTAATTTAAAGTACAGTGAATGCTCTATTAACGAACCAAATCTAATTTGAATTTATTTTAAATGAATGCGAATCTAACCTGTATCTTCGCCAGATCTTAAATTCAGTTTTCACTGTATAACTAATCGTATTCGTATTTTTTATTTTCCAGGCAAGCGCGTGTTCCACGCCAACGCAAAGACTTCAACCTGGCCGGAAGCGGAAGTGTCAAACCCAACGGCAACAACAACAACAACAACAACAACCTTTATAAGACTGAAAAGCGGCCGTCCAGCAAGACAGCACAAAAAATGGCATCGACTGGCGAAATTTGGCTGCAATGGTTCTCATGCTGCTTCCAGCAGCAGCGCTCACCCTCTCGACGACCGCACCAACGCCTGCGCATCGATCGCTCAATGATCGGTAATCCCACAAATTTCGTGCACACCGGACACATTGGATCCGCCGATGTGGAGCTGTCCGCCAATCGGTTAAACGCGATCTCAACTCAAATGCAGAGCAAGGGCGGCTACGAGACAAACTCAATACATTCGCTGCACGTAAGTTATTGGTACAGTGAACGAAATAATCAGGGCAGAAGGTAGCGGGGTGGAGTACAGACAGAGATCTGTTTGGATCGATTGACTCATCCACTTGGTTGCTGCCATTGTTGGGCATATTTAATGTGCGAATCACGATGATTGCAATTCGAAACGTTAACATTTAGCACCGACGTAAGGTGACAACCATTGGCTGGTGGTTACGGTGGTTTGTGTTTTTTTTTTTTTGTCAGCTCAAGGTGTAGGCAACTGACAGCAGAGTATTCAATTTTCTTCAGTTTTAGTTAAATATATTTAGGTAAAATCTAACAGGATAAATCTGAGAAATTTTAGGAAAATTATTTTATTTTTTACATTGTTATTGGGAACGGTTCAAACCCCCCCGTCAAGGATCAAAGACAATTATTATTATTCGTTCATTAAAAAAGCTTAGCTCCAATTTGGTAATAATATATGCAGTATGAGCCGGTTGCTTGCAGCCGATTGCTTTTACCCGTTTGTAGCCGGTGGCCCATAAGCCCCACGTCATCGGATTGCCTGTATTAACTCTCTATCAAAATTAAGCTAAAAGACATGTTAGAAACAGTAAATAAACAAAGTTCTTAACTGTTTTTTGCCCGATAAGCACGCGTTGAGTTGTTAAACTTGATAAACAATTGGATTGCCTTGTCAAAAAGACAGGCAGACAGACAAAACTTAAGAGTTCAATGCTCTCTCAGAGACAAACATCAGGTGTTGCTGCTTGTCTGTGTGTGTATTTAAGATCCACACCCAAGTTTAGTGAAAAATGTTCAATTAAGTTTTGTGGTATTAGTCGCATTTGTCTACATACGTTCATGTCATGCAGCCATTTGCTGATAAGATCTCTGCCTGCTGCACCAGCAGGCCAGGTTCGCTCATGTCGCAGCTCTCTTTTATTTTTAAGTATTAAACAATATCAAGTGCCCAGCCCCGGTTCTGGCGCTGGCCACGCTCTAGTACATCACTTAAACTACAGACAACAACAACAGCAATGATTAAATGTACAGTAAAAGCTCTCGGTAGTGAACAGCGAGGGCGAATTTTTTTATTGGGCTAATTAAGGACTCAGCTTGAGTTGTTCATTGTCCAAATGTGTTCGTTGTATCAAGCCTTCACTGTTATTCATATATTATAATATTCTTTACTCTTTCGCTTTGCAGGCCTGCTGATGGAAATCCCCCACAACCAATGGCTATTAAAAGCATTTTGTGCAATTTTCTTCGAAACAACAACCAATGAGAAGGAGGCGAAGAAGAAGAGAAACTTTATAATAAAAACAACAACTTTGTATTTAAATAATTCTTTGTTAAACGCGAGCTTGTTATCATGGTGACTGTTAGCGATGGTGACTAATAGAGGAGAACACGGAGGAACCAGCTGGGCGGTTGCTGACAACAGAAATAGGTTCCACACATCAAGAACAACAGAGGAACAACAACAATAAGAACCATGAGGAATATGAGAACTGACAATGGACTCCATATGTACCAGCTACTATTTATATAAAGATCATGCGTATTAGCTATAAGTCGGTACTCTAACCCCTGTATAAACCGAGAACTGATATATATAAGAACTTTGTAAGCTCTTTTGTGAGTATTATATAGATGAAAAATCACAAAAGTTGCAAAAACCAGTTCAAAGTCAGTCCAAGGTTTTTTTTTCGGTAATACATATTGTACTTAATGCCAAAACCAGATCAGTTAAGATCATTGTGCAGTTTTTTTTCCTATAGAGCATGCGACATGCAAGCAAAATATGAATAATTGTAAAATCATTTTTCCATTGTAAAACCCAGAGAACACAACTGCCTTATTTCGAATTGCGTAATGCCACATTGATCGAGATGATATATATATATATAAATATATATATACATGTATATATTTATATATAGGTATATGTATAATTAATAGCTATCATAAATAATAGTATATATCAACTGTTGTGCTCGTTGACTAAGCAAAAAGCAATTTTACAAAGCTGATTTAGCATTTATATAATGTTCAAAACTTTACAAAAAAATAATATAATATTAAATTGTCGCACAATCAATTTTTCCAAAAAAGAAGAAAAAATGTATAATTTATGATATTTATAAAACTCGAATATTTGTTAACAAAGCAGAAGAAATAATATTGTAACTACTTTTTTAGAGTTATATTTATACAAGGATATTTATAAACCGATTTAACCAATGCAGAGTATAGTATAGAACGTGTACCTATATAGAAAGGAACCCCCTCAAAACATTCAGTAAAAATCCACTGCAGTTGTAGATGTATATTATAAAACTAAGTTAAAACAAAAAGAAACAGATATAACAAACATAAAATTGTGTATTTTTGGTTGAAAACGTCGCCTGTTGAACGCGGCATAGACTAATTGTATAAAAAACAGGATATTTAAGCAATAATTTATGGAAAAATATATTTAAAGAAAAGAACTAAAATATGGCATTGCGTTTTAATTCTTACAATTATGTATAGAATTTAACGAAATATCGCTCGATAAATATCTACTATCCAGAAGTTAAACTGAAGCTTTTGGAGAGTAAGCAACAGAAGGTTTTCATAATAATATATGATATAATGCTGCTGAGCAAGCTCTTCTGAAAAGAGTCAGCTTGGGATGATATCATCGACAAGCAATGGAGTGAAAATAATAATTTTTAAAGACAATTCCCTTTTATTTTCCTTAACTTAGTGGAAACAGATATTAACTAGTGTTTAGGGCATCCATTATATTTATTCATATTGTGGAATTTAATTCATTCATAAGCTAATCATCATTGTCACTGCCGCTGCCGCTGCCACTGCCACTGCCGGAGCCGGAGCCGCTGCCGCTGCCTGACTTACGACTTTCGTTGTCGCTGCCACTACCGCTGCCGCTGTTGGCGTCTGCACCGCCGTCGTTGCTTTTGCCGCTGCCGACGTCGGATTCGCTGTCGGAATCGCGCAGTGCTTTGCTGGCTTTGGCCTTGTTTACTTTCTTGCTGCGTCGAGCCTCAAAATCGGAGCCTTCGTCCTCATCCGAGGAGTAAATGGTAGAGGCCTTTGGCTCCGCCTGACCACCGCTACCGCTGCCGCCTTTTTTGTAGCGATTTTTGATGGCGCTTAGACTGATTGCATTCTCATCATCGCTACCATCGTCATGCTGATAGGAGGAGTTGCCGCCGCCCCCGATGAGCGGTTCGCCAGCGCCAGCCTTTTTCTTTTTAGGTTGCACCTTGTGTTGGGTGCGCATGGCCAAGCGCAGTTTGGCCTCCTCCTCCTTCAGTTGCGAATAGCGATCTGTGGTAGGGTCTTTGCCCACTTGTGTGAGTATCTTAATACCGCTCGTCTTTGTCGAACGATCCGCTAGCGACATGGTTATCTTCTTGTGTGTGAATGACTCCGTTGAATGCGGCCGGAAGGTTAACTTGGTCCGGAACACAGACTGACCCTGCAGACCTGTGCCTTGACGTATGAACAAATGATTGTGGTCGCCCACCAGCGGTTGACGATACGCATCGAAAATTTCGTTACCCAGATGTAGGCTCATGCTGCCATCGGACCAGCGCACAAAACGCGCATTCGATTCACGCACCATTTCGCCCTTGTTGTTCATAAACTCGCGCCAGCGGATAGTGTTGCTCACTTTTAGCTTGATACGCTGTCGGCCCTCCTCGTCCATGGTTTCCTCCTCGTCGATTTCGTCCTCGTACGTTTCCGGATCAAACGGATGTGTGACCACGGACAAAAAATTGGGCAGCTTAATGAAATGCTGCTCCTTGCCCAGATCGGCTGATATGCGGGGTATTTCCACATCAATGCGCGTCTCCGGCAACGGTTCTGGCTCGTCCTCCTTGGGTACAGTCAGGCGCGGTTCTGCATCGCGAGAGCGCGAACGAGAGCGACTACGGGACCGGCTTACGGAGGCACTGCGTGAACGCGACTTGCTCATACTGCGGCTGCGTGAGCGAGCCAAGCTGCCTGTCGGAGATTTGCGCGCAGCACCCGCCGCCTCCTCGTCGTCACTGATGTCATCCGCGTCACCAAAGATGTCCGACGCGGCAGGCGCTGTCTTTGACTGTGCGAAGTCAAAATGTAATTAAATACAGTTAGTTTACTTATAGATTGGAGAATTTGCATTGACCTACCGGCTCCTCCTCATCGCTATCGGAGTCAATAAGGCGCGCCTTCTTTGCTTTCGAGGGCGTTGCGTTGTCGCTATCACGCTTTTCGTTATCTGAATTGCTTTGACGACGCGGCTTCTTCTTGGAGATGCCAATGTCACTGCCCGAACCGGAAGCGGAACCGCTTCGGCTCCGTGATGTGCGACCCGATTGTGGTGTGTCCGACTTGGTATGGGAGCGTGAACGAGAGCGAGATCGGGTTTTGGATCTAGAAGTGCGACTGCCACTGCGACTGCGGCTCTTGCTCTTTGAATTGGCTCGCTGGTCATCAATTTGCAGATTGGGCGAATTAGAACGGGACTCCTCGTTACCACTATTCTTGCTATGGGGCGTGCCGCTGCGGGAGTGTGAATGGGAACGGGAACGTTTGCTGTGAGGTGAACCGGAGTGCTGGCTATGTGGAGAGCCAGGGTGTCGACTGTGAACCGAACCAGAGCGCGATCTTCTACTGGCCGCAGAGACTGATCGTACGCTATGAGGCGAACCGGAACCGGAGCGTGACTGCGAGGATCTGGACCCAGAACGTGAACGTTCGCTTCCGCTGCCCGACTTATGACTATGAGGCGAACTAAAGGGTAATATGCCATTAATAATATCATTTTGACAGGGTAAATACAATTTAACAATAAAAACCTACCGTGGTGCGCTGCCTTGCGGTGTGACGCTGCGGCTGCGACTTCCACTGCGACTGGAATCCGATCCAGAACCTTTAAAAGGTATTTAAGTATATATGGACCAACAAAATATATAATAGAACACTTACCGCTCTCATCATCTGAATTGGGACCACTCATGTTTTAGAATAATTTCTTGCAAACGAATAACACACAAAGCCAAAAATGCAAATAACAATATTGGTGGCTCAAACACGTGCAGACAAGCTTCACGTTCAATAAACACATATGCTTTATAAAATAAGCTTATATAAATCAAATAAAAGGCAACGCTTATTTTAAGTAAAATATTTAGTTGTGTACTATAAGCAAATTGTTATATTTTTTTTAAATGCCGTATTTGTTGACAAGTCCTCGTGTATTGCAGTCCTAAGACATTCCTTGCAACTCTGTTTCTGCTGCTATGAACGCCACTATCGATAACAATGCTGCATCGATAACCATCATCCATCTCAGTCTTTTGTGTATTTGTATTCGTATGTGACGAGCCACAAAAGTTTTTTGCGGAACGTATTTTGTGTACAATTTAAGCGTTTTTCGAGCGCTCAAAAGTTGTTTATATTATTGCATATATTATAAATAGGCATTTGTCTATTTTGAATAAAAGTTCGTTGCTTTGTACGCGGCGTAAAAGGTGCGCAAATCGCAAAGCGAATTTACCCCAAATTCGCGTTCGGGTGAAATTTCAATGAACTGAGAAAACAAAGACAGAGACATACACACACACACATTCAGTGGAAGCAGTGAAGGAAGAAGAAGCAGTGGCAACAGCGCAATAGCAAGCAATTATTTACTTACAAATAAAACCAACATAATATATATATAAACCAAGGCAAATCTACACAAAAAAGGCCCAACTCAACAAAACAACATTGAAAGGAGAAAAATATTAATGGACGATTCGCAGTGGGCACCACTGCAGCAGTTAAAAATTCTGTAGTCGCCGCTTTGCGTTGCTTGGCAAGGGGGGAAAGCATATAAAAAACCTTCGGTACTCCTGCTCTCGGGCAGGCACGACGAAGTAAAGTACACCAATACACAGTTACCAATACGCAGCGTGAGTGTATATATATATATGCAATATATTTAGGGACGATACGGCGCGGAAAAATACCAACTAACCTCTCTCCGCACGTTGCGGCTACACTTTGCGCATCATCTTCATCCTCGTGTGGGTGATTGTGTGTATGTGAGTGTATATCCTGCTTGCCAGTGTGCCTTTGTGTATGCGCGACGAGTGCCATTTATAAGTAACAGTAAAGCAAAGTGAATTGAGTGATCAAAGCTTAACATTTTCAAGTTCACAAATTTAAGAGTCAGTTGGTGCAGCAGCTGACAGAACGCCACAGCAATCCACGAAGACGGCGACGCAACCGTCGGCAGCAACAACACCAACGTCCCAGTCGCTTTGGAATGTTAAATGCGGTGAGAACGAACCATTCAGTGTATGTTGTTGTTGGTAACAGCAGTAGTCGGAAAACATTAGCAGTAACAGTGGCAGAAGAGGAAGAAGCAGCAGCATTATCATCCAACGTTCATTTAGGTAAGTGCGGTGTAAAAGCCTACAACTTTCCGCCTTCACAATTCAAATAGTTGTTGCTAAAGTTTGCTTTTCAAGGCTATCCCTAAACACTAATTGGCTAAAGTTGAACTCGAAGCATTTTGTTGTAAATGAAAACAGTGTTGCAAATCGTAAATTGGTCAGCTGATGAAGTTACACACATAGCGATCGAACGAATAAATGAACCTACGATCAGCATCGGGGAAACGACACTTTAATGTAATTGGCAAATGAATCTGTCAAGTTAAAGCAAATAAATCGAGGAGCAAGAGCGCACAAAAGGTGCTCAAAATACAAAAGGAACATGGGTACAGACAAGTGCAGGCAGAGCTAATTGCAGATCAGCAACACTTATACAAGTAGCATCTTTTATTGTGTGCTCACACACACGCACGCATCAAGAAGTTAACCATATATATACAAACAGGCACACACTCACACACATACACGCAGACGCAGTCACATATTGATCTTCTGTTTCATTTCGTATCCTTTTTCATTTACCTTTCGGGCGTTCTTTTGTGTGCTATTTTAAGTAGAGCGGCTTGTACGGCTTGTCTGACTGATTTGAAGATCAATTTGTGCATGTGTACTTTTTCTGTTAGCTGTGTCCATTCATTTTTGAGGCTTTCTTACAGCTGATGTTCGTGCGGCCATTTAATCTAAATTAGTGCTGCAAAGTGAACGGCACTTTGTTTACCTGTGTTGTATTCGGTTTCACTATTATCGCCTCCTTATTTGTAGCTGTTACATGTTGATTCCGTCTGATGATAGTTGTTGTCTCTGAGACCACAGTTACGTAAAATTTCAAGCGACCTTGGCTTTATCGAATCCGCAAATTAATAAAAATCCGCCCCCAACAACCAACAAAAAATACAAGGCAGAGACAGTCAAACCCAGAGCCAGACAGCGAAACCGAACAATCCGCCATTTGTCTTGTTTATATTTATTTATAAGCATATGTTTGTGTTATTTTCAACGCGCAACAACAATTATCTGCACTCAGAATTTTGTTATCAATTGTGCGGGATTTGGGTTCTGTTTTCTCTCCTTGAATCTAACTGAGTCAGCGTCACGTACCTCTTATTCGTATGCCTACATATGTATTCGACGACTCTCACTCTCTCTGACTCTCAGCTGCAGCAACTTTTGTGATAAACAACAGCCGGCCTTGCATGATTTGTTGATGTTGTTGTTGGCCAATTGGTTGATATGTATATCAATTTTTGTGCGCGCCAAAAACACGTCACGACTGCATCACGATGATGTACGATGACGATCAAGTGTATTTATCATTGGGGCTAGCTTTGTTATCGATAACAGATTTCAAACTCCTAATCAACAGCAATTAGCGGGCAACATAAATACGCCATTCGAATACATGACTAGCTCTGTTATCGACAACGTAATATCAGTTGTTAATCAAACGCAATTAGCGGTCATCATAAATACGCAATTCACTGTTTTTAAGGCATCTATTAATATAAATACTAATTCACATTGTATGTTTTTTGTCTTTTCCAGATTATGGCGAATTTAAATTTTCAACAACCTCCGAGAAGCATAGCAAACGCGGCTTTAACGGGCCGCACAACTGGCGGCTTTGGTGGTAGCTCTATGTCTGGCCATGTAACACCCACGTCCGGCATGTTCCAAACCGGTAAGTGGCAACTTGGTTTGTAAATTGTCTCCCATTTTCTCAATATTAATATTTTTTATTTTTGCTTAGATTTCGGCACCTCTTATCCTGGCGCTGCGAATTACGGTCAACAAACGCAACAGCCGCCACAGCTATCGCCGAATCGCAATGTGCAGTTATCGGTTGGTGGTCCTGCGTTATCGAGTGGCAATCGCAATGCGAATCTATTCGGCCAACGGCCGTTTGTGGAACGTCGTGCCATGCAGGGGTTGGGCAGCGGGCCCATGGTAAGTAATGATAACGATGACAATGAAGATGATGATAATTTGAATTGTACAATTATATTTTTACGTTACAGTCGAACATGGGAAACTTTATGCAATCCGCTCGCGGTGGCTATGGCACAGGTGGTGGCGGCGGGGGAGGCCCTTTAAATAATTTTCATGTATTCGGTGGTGGCAATGGGGCGGACGCATCAACGCCAGCGCTGCTCGATCCCACAGAGTTCCCTTCACTCACGAATGCGCGCGGCCAGAACGATCAGACACTGCCCCAATCGAATACCCTCCAGCCGCCGGGCAGCAAACCCTACGGTAATTTCTTTACCTCTTGTGAGTTCAAAACAAAAATAAACTTTTTTTTAAATTAATTTCTGTTACTTTAATAATTTTAATTGGTTGCGGTTCGCTCTACTTATATATATATATATATATATATATATATATATATATATATTCATATATTAACATACTTCATTTAAGGGTAGTTTGTTTTTTCTCACATGTTCTAATTATAATTTGTAACTTTCTATCATTTTTAATTTGTATAAATCCGCCTTCTTTCATACAAAATTTATCTCAAAGTTTTAGTCAGTTTTATCGAATCATTATGCCAATCTTTACTTGCTTTTTATTTACTCATTGCTTAGTGGTGTTGGAGTTAATAAAGTAAAATGAAGGTTTCCCTGTACACTGAAACAGGTTGTTTCTTAAATGAGTTTATATACCCCAACAAATTAACTGATGGGATTTGGAATTACTTTTAGTTGGCATGGTGAAGCAGCCGACGTCAGAGCAATCGGAGTTTACGATGTCGAACGAGGACTTTCCTGCGTTACCGGGTACCCAAAACTCGGATGGCACAACGAATGCGTTGGGCAACAGCAGCGGCGTTGGCAGTGCTGCTGGCGGCGGCAGCGGAGGAGGAAGCGGAAGCGTTGTCACAGAAAATAATCTGGATGGCACGGAAAAGGCAATGAATTCAATTGTGGTCAGCGGCGGCGGTTCGGGCAGCTCCGGTGCCGTGGGTGTTGGCGGTAATGGTCATGGAGCCGTTGGCAGTGGTATTGGCGGCGTTGTTGTTGGCGGCGGCGGCAGCAACAGCAGCGGGTCGAGCGGTGTGGTAAACGCGACACATGTAGGATTAGTTGGCGGTTCAGGAGGAGGCGTTGGTGTCAATAGTGTTACCGGCAACAATGTTATGATGGGTGTTGGCGGTGGGCTCGGTAGCGGCACGAGCAGTGGAGCAAGCGGCGAGCACATGAACGATAATTCCAGCAATGATAAACTTGTGAAGAGCGGCGTACAAACATCGCCAGATGGTAAGCACAAAAAAGGAAGGGATCTCGGTAGCGCAGCATTTTCTAATCACATTTCTTTAATTATTTAATATAGGCAAGGTCACAAACATACCAGCGAGCATGGTGAACAATCAGTTTGGCATGGTAGGTCTGCTGACGTTCATCCGAGCAGCCGAAACTGATCCCAATCTTGTGACGCTGTCGCTGGGCACGGATCTAACGGGTCTGGGCTTAAATCTTAATTCACAGGAGAGTTTGCATCCAACATTCGCTGGACCGTTCGTGGAACAGCCCTGCAGGTGTGTGACTGGCTCAATTGAATTAAAATTAGAAACAATTTCTAACAAACTTTTATGCCGTCCTTTATATAACAGAGCACAAGACGTTGAGTACAGCGTACCACCCGAATATCTGATTAATTTTGCGATTAGAGATAAGCTCACTGCGCCGGTACTGAAAAAGCTGCAAGAGGATCTGCTTTTTTTCCTGTTCTACACGAATATCGGTGATCTAATGCAATTAATGGCAGCTGCTGAATTGTAAGTTCCGTTAGATCTCAATTTTCATTTAACTGTAATGCAATTTTATGTTTTTTTGTCTATATACTTAGGCATAGTCGCGAATGGCGGTATCATGTAGAGGAAAAAATTTGGATAACTCGAATTCCCGGCATTAATCAATATGAAAAAAATGGTACAAAAGAGCGTGGCACCTTCTATTACTTTGATGCGCAAAGTTGGAAACGTTTGTCCAAGGTTTTCCATATAGATGCCGAGAAATTAGATAAATGTCCCAATATAAGTGCGTTTATGAATGGACAGTCTGTATAATATTAATAAAACTGAAAAAATTTGAAAAAAAAGCAAAACAAATTGATGACGGCGTTTCTTCATTAATTATCTTTTTGAATTTAACGGATATTGATTAGGGAATGATATTTGATGTTAGCAGCATTCATTTCATCGATGAGCGGAAGGCGTACATTTTGTATTATCGGCATACCGCCACAAATAGCAAGGCAGCTGTACAGCTACAGTGCTTGTGGTATGCTGGTCAAGCGAAATAAGTATATATTATATCAAAATATCGACGCATTTCGGCATGTTCAACTTAATATAGTTAAAATAAAAGCAAAAACTTGGATTATTATAGACGTATTCAATTGTAATGTGGAACTTCAAAGCAACAGTTGTGAGCAGCTTAAATATTTCTTAACTAGCTGAGGTGTTGAGCTGCATACCTAACTTACAGTGTACAACAAAAATAGAAAGAAGAAACAGCGGCTGCGCCATTAGGTCAAATTCAAATTTAAATTTATTGCGAACGGACGCAAAATGAACACACCCGGCGTCAGTTTGTTTCAAGGCGCTGATACCCTCAAGGTAAATTCAACACTGGATCGTCAGGAAGAGGAGGAAGCGCTACAGGATCAAAAACGACGAGAGGCAGAGGTATGTGGTGACAATTGAGGCGACGCCTTGATAATATTAAATTTCGAAATTGGTTTTATTGCATACATACCTGATTCAGCTGGGGAATTTATTGGAAAATGCATTCGACGACTTAGAAGACGACGACGAAGAGAATACTATAGATTCGACATCAAGCTTTCCCTCTAATTTGCTTCCCAATGGCCAGGGCTTACCACTGCCGCTGCTTCCAATGCAACAGACACAACAGCAGCAGCAAGCGGACTGTGTAAATTCTAACGAGATTCATGAGCTAAAGATGATGCTGGAGTCAAGGACACACGAGCTGAACAACATGAACCAAATTGCAAAGGAAGCTCATAATAAAATTGATGAGTGCCAAAAGCGTTTGTTTATAACGCAAGCAGAGCTTGAGCGTGCGCTTCGTGAGAAGCAACACACACACGAGCTGCTCGTAGATAGTAAGGAGAAGTGCTCGAATCTGGACAGCAATATTGAAAAACTGCGCTGCGAGAAGCGTACGCTAGAAACGGAGAACACTCAGCTAGTTGGCAAGCTGGAGACGGCACACACGCTGCTAGCAGATGTCCAGCGCAAATATGATATGGTAGAACGGGATCAGCACAGGCGAGAGGATCGTAATGCTGATATACGCATTAAGCAGTTGGAGGACCAGCAACGCGCCCAAATTGAGCTAATGCAGCAAAAGGTCAACCAGCTGAGTGATCAGCTGGACAAAAAGAAACAGGAGCTCGAGCAAATGCATGTGCGTTACAATGCGCTGCAGTCTAGCTATGAGTCTATGCTGTTAGACAAGGCCGACAAAATCAATGAGCTAAACTCGGCGCTCGATGTGGCACAGCGGCGCTGTCATCAGCTAGCTGCCAAGCCCAACTACGAGGCGGAGAACTCACGTCAGCAACAATGCATTGCGGATTTGCATGCACAGGTAGCTAGCATGGAGCAGACAATAGCGCAGCTAACGGAGCGTGTCAATGGCACTGCAGCGGAGCTGGATCTGATGGATACGCTCATACAACAGCATCAATCCGAAACAGATTCGCCAAATCGTTTGCCATCGCGTCTAGCAGGCAGCACGCCCCTGAATCCCACCGATCGCATGGGTCATATTAAGCAGGAATTGTATCGAGCGTTAGTCACCTTAAAGAACAAGCGTGAGGAGGTGCGCCGGTTGGAGAAACTGCTGGACGAGCGCACCAAAGAGTTGCGCACCCTCCGTGAGGAGGAGAACAAAACGCTGGTACAGCTGGCCAATCTGAAAGAGGACAAATCGCGTCTAGAGACGCGCATTAAAGGATTGCAGGAGCAACTGGATGAGCGTCAGCACAACAGTTCGCTTAATGTGTCCAAGCTGCAAGCAGAGTTGGATGTGTTGCTGGCCGAAAAGGATGCATTGCATCAGCAGACGATCGCGCAAGCCACCGAACAGCAACGACTTGACAAGCAGTTGAAGCAGGCAAAGTTGGATTTGGAGCACCTCAAGCTGGAGCATGAACAGCTCAAGCGTCAACATGATCAGCTAACGGATGACAATCGACAGCTGCGCACTCGGCCTACCGCAGATAATTTGCGTTTGGAGCTGGAGCGATATAAGATCTTATTAAATGATGCGCAGGGCGAGGTGAAGCGTTTAAAATCGGTCTACACGGATATTGCCAATGAAAAGGAGACACTCAACTTTCAACTGCGTAAGTTAAGTGAAACGGATAGCATCAAGGAACTGCAGGAGCACCGACAACAAATTGCCCAGCTGCAACGGAATATGGAGCTAGCAGAGTTGAAGGCGCAAGAACTAAGCAAAATACTGGACACAGCTAAGCTGCAGCACGAACGAGATCTCGAGACGCTGCGGGAGAAATGGGAGCGTGAGAAATACGAGGAGGTGATCAAAGCGGCGAAGAAGAGCTCCAGCAATTGCACCAAGTGCAGTGATCAGTTAGCCGACATTACAAAGGTACACTGAAATTCATGAACAAATTCCGTACTGATCACATTTCTTTACAGATTGAAATCCAATTGCTAAAGATGCAAAACATGAACTCCATGCAAGCCAAGGAACTGAACGAGCTGCGCAATGAGCTGGAGCAGTCCAAGGCGCTGCGAGCGGAATTGGAGACAAAGGTGCAGCAAATGGCGGAGCAGGAGAAGTTGTTAAGCGAACTTAAGGTTAAGGCGCAGCTCTATGAGGAACAGCTGCAGCAGGAGGCAGTCAAACTGGGCGAGCAGCTAAGTCCCAGTCAACAGATTGCAGCATGTTCAGCGGAAGCTAGTGGCGGATCTAACACTCCTCCAGAGCTCACGCAATCGCGCATTAAGCGCATAGAGCAGCGTGTACGGGACGAGATGGCCAAGCTATTTGCTACCGAGCTAAAGCGATTTACATTGCGCGTCCAGCAGGCAGAGGAGCGCAGCGTGTGCCTACAGCGCGAGTATCAATTGGTGTGCCGTGATCTTCAGCATCGCCAAACGGAGGTGGATTTGCTAAAGCAGACAATACTAGCTGAACGTGAGCAAATGCAGCAGCTGCTGGGGGAACAGGAGGAGAAGCAGAAGCAAATGTTGCACAAGTGCCGCAGTGAGCTGCAGACAAAGAATCAACGCATCTCAGATTTACTGCGCGAACTGGATGAACAACATGCGAGCATCGAATCCGAGCGTCGCTCCATGAAAGCTGTAATGAATGAATGGGATAAGCAAAAACAATCCATAGAGCAGGTTGAACAGCATTGGCGCGCCCAGGTGCAAACGTTGCGTGAGACCCACGAGGAGGCCATGCGCGCTGCACAGCAGCGCTATCAGAGCGCTAAACGCACCGCCCACAATTACAAGATCTATGCGGAAGACAAAGATGCGCACATGAAGCGTGAGTACGAGCGCATCAAGATCGAGTACCAGACCTCGCTTACCCAAATCGAAGCAACTATGCAGAAGCATCTCCAGCGCAAAAGCCGCGACCGCAACCAAAAGCGAAGCGCCAATGATAAAGAGAATGAGTCGAACAATCATTAAATATAATCCATATGTAATATATATGTTTAGATCAATTGTTTATTTTTAGATTCCTTAAGATACTTTTACAAACAAATGATTTTATATGCACTTTTTATAATAGAAGATATATAATGTAATGTAAACATTCCAAATCCCACGCAGGTTGTTTTATTATTTATAAATTCTTCCAGGAGAACGATACAAAACTTGTTTGTACGATCTAAAAAGTTAAGAATAATATTTACATAAGAACATTCTAATAGCTAATCAGATGTTTTATTAAACTGCATCCAGCATTTGTCCAAGATTGTGAAAAATGTATCTATTTCCGTTCGATGTAAGCCCAGAGCCGCAGCTACAGTTAAATAGGGCATCTCCAGCAACTCACGATGAGATCCAAAATCTGTAAAGAGAAACAAGAGTTAATATAACACAGCAATCATATGGACACGTACGTTTGAATTCAAAGCCATCAATGGATTTGGTCTGATTAACGTCTATGACTCGCACACCGGAAACGCCCCGTGCATGGAGCATGCCGCCCAGAAGGGTAATGTTATTCCCTGCTTCCTTGAGCTTCGCATTCAGTGTGTTTAATGTGAGTGCAAGTGATATGTGATTATTCTTGCATTCTGCCACGATTTCATTGTGATCCACGGCAAGTTGTTGCAGTCGCTGTTTGAGATATTCAAAGTTATGCTGACGCTTGCGTAGCAGTGCCTGATAGCCACTGCGACCCAATGAGAGCAGCGTCATGAATACATCCAATGTTTGGGAGCTGCTCGCTCGACCCGCGTAGCTGCTGGCCAGACGCTGTAAATACTGATCATCACTACTGGCCACAATCGCCCCGCCGACAGGTACCAAAAGATTTTTGTCTGTACTCTGGACAAAGTAATCGATGCGACCAACGCGCTGTGCTCGCTCCAGCTGAGCAGTAATTGCCTGACACTGCAGTCCATAGGCATTGTTCACCAGATGCGGCACAGACTCCCTTTTGGCCAGCTTTGCTAGCTCCACAATGCTGTCGCAGTTGCGCGGTGCAAAACAGCTAGTTGTGCTGTACACGCAGAGTATGTTATCGGCGCCCAGTTCTTGGATGCACTTCTCAAACTGTTGGCAATCGGTGACCAACGCCTGCTCCTCTTTTAGTATTAAGAGGGGTATTACAATGGGTTCAAGACCGGCGGCTGTGATTGCTTTAAAGCAAGACTTCTGATCGATGCGCGACCACAGAACATATTTCGCACTTGATCGACGCTTGCGAAGCGCTTGTAGGCACAAAGTCAGTGTCATGCCAGTGGCCAACGGAACCAGGAAGCAACCGGTGCAGCTTTTCAGACCTAGCGTGTGTAAGAGATCTAAAAGCAGAGCGTTCGTCAAACTGGCCAACAGTGTGGAGCCGGCAGCTTTGGGCTGTGCTTCTAGCAAATCGCCCGAACGGCCCATACCATGACCGAAGTTATAATGCCTCCGTGCCACAAGTTCTAACGGATTAAAATTCCGATTAACATTTACGATATACATATATTGAATATATACAGCATTCCCTTACTGCACGCAATACGCGCCTCGCGTTCACCCAGGCCCACATTGTGTGCGAAATTGTTGCTGTCTAGTGCGGCCAGCTGATGCACCAGCTCTTCAATCTCTTCATCCCGCCACCCATGCTCCGGCAATTTACGCTGCAATTAAAACAATCTCTTATCTATGTTTAGTCTCATTTTATTATCGCTATTTTACTACCTTTTCCAGCAGTTCCTTAATTTGTCGCTGCCTGCCTCGTTGCGCTGCTAATCCCAACTGCAAATAGTTACGGGGCACTAGCTTGTGCGGTATATTGATGCTATCGAAATTCATTGTGCTGGGCGCCAAATGTTAACAACTTATGATACATATAACACTGAACAGTATATATCTGAGTATCGTATTGTATGTGTCATTCCATTATTATCGTTACCGATATCTTATCGATATATTTAATTTCAGTGTTGTGCAATGAACATATGCATTAACGCCGCGCATTATTTCCTAGGCGTCTCCTAAATATTTCGTTTAAATTATACGAGGAATTCAAACAAATTAATTACAAAACAACTGGACGCATACCGCAGAACTTCAATATGTAAGTGCAGTAACTAGAATAGATATACCATAAGGTTAATAATGTTTTTCTCCAGGCCAAGAGTAAGCGAGTCAACAATGCGCGAATTGCATGACATTTTAAATGCGGAGAATCCAGATGAGAATCGATTTAAAGATTTTCTAAAAAAGAAAACCGCACCGAAGCCGAGAAACAGTCCCAAGTATGTACTTGGCGGTTGTGATGTTTCATTTGATATAGACGTCGATTTCATCAAACTGCCAGAAAAGAAACAACAGAAACAACAGCAGCAAAAGCAGCAAGAGACTGAGCCACAAGGAGCACAGTTAACACCAAAAAAGCTAGCGCTACGTGAGACGTTTACTAATGCCATTAGAGCTAATGGGAAACACTTAGTGGTTGACTCACAGCCACAGTCAGAAGTACCTAAATCGCCGACAGATGACAATAGAGCTACAGGGCGTTCCCTTAGTGTGTCGCCTGGTGTACTCGACTATTCTCCTGGTCAACGTAGCGGCGGAGCCGCAAGTGACTCTAAGACAGTGCATCGTGGGACTTTAAGCAGACGCTCTCATGTAATTCGTGGACGACGAGATCTTCAAGAAGAGTTTAATACTGAGGTCAATGTGACACGAAAAACATCAGGATCGTTTGATTTTGTAAGTTTTTCATTGAATTATTAGTAACTATCGTTTGACATCTGTGCACCTTTCAGCTGCCTAAAGTAAGCAGCACGCCTGCTTTAGAGAAACCAGCAAAGCTGCCAAAGCCACAGATCCCACAATCCGCAACAGGAACTGAAGCCCTTGAGTCTTCGTCGAATCATGCTGATTTCGAGGGGAGCTTTGAAGAGAGCCTAATGCATTCAAGCCATCGAAGCCCACGAACTAGATTAGGCAATCGAGGTACCTTTGTTAAAGAACGGATAACTGACTCAGAACAACAGCAGAGCTGTAAAAACTCTTCACAGAATCCAACAGGCGTTGGTCATCGGGGCACCTTTGATATAGATAAAACACCCGAGCCCGCCATCAAAGCCAAAAATATGGGACAAAAAGCAACGAAAACTTCGTCTTCGACGATGAATGGTTCTATTGGCGGTCGGCAGCCTTACGTGCGTCTGAGACGAGTCCTACCGTATATGGATTTAACACAACTGTCACAGCAAGCTGCGTTCGATTCGGAGCAAATTGTGCGTGAAACGCAATCATCACCAATAAAGACATCAGCTGACGCATCAGTATGTCGATATATAACACGACGTCAACAGAATAAAGAGTCAGAGGCGGAACATGTGCCTGAAATACAAGCCCAGGAGTTCACGCCACAAGTAGAAATGGCAGCTGGATCAGTAACACCGCCACTAGCTGTTAGTTGTGCCATACAAACTACCTGCATTCCGGGCAATACAGATGCTACGAATGAAAACCTAACGTTAGAGGAAAATGACGTTGAGGATATGGAAAAAACATCTCCGCTCAATTTAGCGCCTACCGGTGGCAACACAACCAGGCTACGTCACCGACAAAACCTACAAATCAACCACGAGAAGTCCATTCAGTTGCTCGATCTTCATTGCACGCACAAGAACAATTCATCTGAGCAGCGTACCCAGAAAACAACTCAGGCTGCTCTCAACAAGCCACTTCTGCCGGCCATCAATGGGGAAGAGTTTGCCGAGGAATTGGCACGCATGACCAACCACGAAATTCTCGATTTGCGAAAACGCAACTCATTAGGCAGACTCCACCACCAGCAAGTGTTTACCACGGAACAGCAGCTGGTTTTGGAGCAGAGCATACAAATGGAAATGTTGCGTCGCAATCTAAACGGTCAGGGTGATGGCTTACCCAGCAAAGTGATCGCAACCAGTCCAGAATTGAATGCGACTAAGAATGTTAAGAATACTCCACCAGAACTAGATATGTCGCAGCATGTACTCAGAAGGAGTGGAACCATTCAAAGTAAAACATTGATTCAGCCATCGCGACGATCGCGTTACAAACGCCGAGGTGTACCCATTGTAAGATAATCGAAAGGTTGTTACACGTGCAATTCAATTTAAATTTCCAAAACCTTTTACAGACTACAGAGCTGCAGAACTATATGGAGCTGCCGAGCGCTATTGAGAAACGTCTGAAAGTGAACTCCGGGTGCGATACCAAGCGCAGTCTGTACACAAAGGGCAATTCAGACACGGAGGATAATCGATCGCTGTCGCCGGTAGCACAACATTGCATAACCAATGCCAGCATACAAATTGCACCTGCCCCGCCTCTTCATTTAAGCAGCGATGAGGATTACGAGCATATCCCTATTGTTCCACCTCCACCAATGTGCTTGAGATACTCGCGCAATTTGCGAAGATCTCAGCTTCAGCCGCATGATAATGTCGAGGAGGGCGAGCAAGATGAAAATGTTGCTCCAGAGCAAAGTCGAAACTCTAATACTAAGATTATAGAGGATATACAAATTATGCCGCCTTCACCAGAGTCTCTTCAACGTTCCCGTCAGTTACGCAGTTCATCTTTGGATGATTCCATGTCTCAGGAGCAAATGGCAGATGCTGATGGAGATGTTATAAAAGAGACTATGTCAATTGTATCGCCTCCACCAGATGCGACTCAATTAACGCGTAGGTCAAGAAAATTTTTGGCTCCACCTTTGGAGGATATCATCGAGGATGATGCTGCTGCAGACCGCACACAACGGTCTCAAACAGGCATAGAAGATATACGCATTGTGCCGCCTTCACCAATATCTATTCGATACTCACAACGGTTACAAAGCTCTACGCTTAAACATTCTGAAGATGTCATTGAACAGGAGAAACGCGATATTGCTGCCCAACACTCACAAAGCTCTCCAGCTGAGATAGTAGAAAATTTACGAATTGCGCCTTCTCCAGACGTCTCCGTTGAACACTTGACAAGATCTAAGCAGCAGGAAATCATCTATTTGGATGTGGAGCAGGAGCAAAAGGAAAAAGATCCACAAGGGTATCTTCCAGCGGTTACGGAATTGGATGATATGATGCTGCCGTTGATCCAAGACAACGGTAGTAGCTATATGGAGGAACTGCGTGTGCAAACACCAACACCACCATCATCACTATCGCAAATATCCATGAATGAGCAAATGATGCTTGACGAACAGCCGAGCACGAGCAAGGCCGCTCGCGAAGCTCTGCAGCTTTCGATTAGTCGGCAACAGAAGATAAAGAATCCAAAGAAGGTCAAACAAAAAAAAAACACCGCAGACGATGCTGTATTTAAAAAACCAATCTTACCTGCACCAAGAGCTGGTAAACATAAATCTTTCAGGATTAGAGAGTTAGAGAGTTTGCGAATTAAAACAGGAGACCAGACGTTGGCATCGCAGTACAGTGATAATGCTGATAAAAGTAAGACTGATGAATGAACCCCTGTTGCTCCTAATATTACTAATATAAATAATCTTTTTCAATTGACAGGTGGAATTCGCAGATCAAAGCGTGGTCAGGTTCCGCTGCGCAACACCTGGGTTCATAGCGTTAGTGAGCCCTTCAAGTTCACCTTCTTTGAGCGCGCGATCACCGACACAATTAGCCAAAAGCGCAAGCACAAGTCGTTACGAAATCAAACCAATTCGTTTACAAACGAAAGAACGCCACTTTGTAGCAGCACGCCCCTTAATGAGATTAAGCCTGTGAACCCGGGTCGCAGTTCAAGAGCACTTAAACGCAAACGAACAGCTGAGGAAGACTTTCGAGAATCGGGCATATCGTTATTGCCTGAAATAGCTGAGGAAGATGAGCTTCGACTAAATAAAAGCAACTTAACAGCTAAACCACACAAAAGTCCCAAAAAGAATTTAAGAAATATGGAAAGTGAGCTGAAAAGGTCTCTACGCCGATCATTCATAGAATCGGAATCCGATGTTGAATCAGAAGAAGAAACGGAACCCGAAGCAGAAGCAGAAACAGAAACAGGAGCCGAAGCAGGACCTATTGCAGAACCCATACAATTGCCTTTGCAAATTGAGTCTGGAGGGGAACCGGCACCTGACCTGGCACTCAATACCAGGTTGGATGCGTCAAAAATTGAACTCTTGAAGATGGCAGACAGGTTACGCGGAGTTAACGAGGTAGTGGAGTCTGATAAAAGTTCGGACAGTGACATTGAGAACGATGTAATACGCTTTAGTAAGTTGCCTTGATTCCAGAACATTGGCGAAGTTTATATACTAAATGTTGCTTTTCAACGTTTATTTATTTTCCAGCGTCTGTGACTGACTTAAAGTTCTTAAATTTGGATGGCATTGAATACAGCTTTTATAAGACGCAGGAAGCGTGGGGCATGGGCTACATGCGTTTCCAGCCGCTGCAAGAGCGCGGCATGAAGCGCAACAAGTCTAACACTTTGGTACGTTTAAATGCATTTAATTATATATTGGTCTCATTTCATTTATTGACATCTTTGGCTCTACAGCGTTTTCTTTCCCTCTATGGAGAGTTTGTCATTGAGGTAAAACAAGAGTCAGAAGACGGTCAGAAATACGTCATGAAATCAGGTGATTTCATTGAGATTAATATGGGTAAGTAAATAAATAGTTACCGGAATGAAAATGTAATATCCATATAATCTATATTTCAATTGCTCTGTAGGCAGTCGTTTTAATATCACCAACAGTTTGAATGAGGTCAGTTTGCTGATTGTGAATCGTAAGTGAATTGTGATGTATGTTTATATTTACATCAATCCATTCATTACAACCCCCATCTACACTAAGGAGAGACAACCACAAAATCTACAAATAATTATTTTATAAAAATATTTTTGTTTTTGGTCTTAGGACTACTGAATAGTCATAAATCTTTTGTTGAATTGAATAATAATATATTTTGTTAATATTAACTAAATGAAATGGTATGCATTCTTTAAATATCTTCTGTACGCATAGAAATGTAATACGGTACATATAATATATATGTAATATAGTGAAGAGTTAAGTCTAGAAAGATATTTGAAGGGTTCGGTTTCAGATGAAAATATGCATTTATAACTATTTAGAATTATATAAATATATTTATATAAATAACTCTTGCTTGTCTTATGCCAACTATGTACCGAACCCCTAATGCATCACTGTTCAACTCGCAACTGACGTCTGTCAATGGTTTTTGCCATTTGTTATATTTCCCTCGCTTTTTGTTGCGGCTGCTGTTGGCGTAAAACTCTGACGTCGGGGGTTAATGCGAGTAACTACGCAAAAGTTAAGGCGACGTCATCGTCAAAGCTGCGTAACCCTAGCTCAAGTACAGTGATACAGCCGTCTTTGTGCTTATTTATGTGTGCATATATTTACAAGTATATATATATATATATATAAATATATATATATAGCTATCTGAGCTGTTCACAATTTCAAGTTCATTTAATTTCCATTTTCTCGCAATTTTAGCAAGTTGCACGTAGCGCGTGCCTCTGCATATGTGTGTGTGCGTATGTGTAATCTATATGCTTGTGTGTGTGACTTCAAAAGCAAAACGCAAACACGCAAAAGGCAGCAACAACAATAAACAACAACACCAACAGCGGCAACAACAATGAAGATGATGAGAACTGCTGTTCCTGGTCCGCTCTGCATGCAACTTTTTAACACATTTTCCACGTTTGCTTTGTGTAGCAAATGTCTTAAAAGTAACAAGAAAAAACTGTAAGCCCCATGATATCGAATATCCAATACCCTTTCGAATAGAATGATACGAGAATGGTCTGACAATATGTGAAATATGTGACAAAGGAAAAGAAAATAGAAAAGTAACAATAATTCAAATTGCTTTGTTTAAAATAATATATATAAATTAATAAAATATTATTTTACATCAAGCTTCTTTAGATTTGGTTCATCCACATAATATATAATATAATTATATAAAAATTTAGTTTAAAAGCACTATACTTGTTCGATTCTGATCAGATGAGTTGTCAAAAAAGTTCGGAAACCTTGGACAAACTTCGACATGTAAGTTATACTGCCTTTCGAAATGTAATCAGAATTTATCAATTTAAGTTTACAGACAGGCCTTCATACATTGTGCCATATTTCCCGAAGTAACTAGAAAGGGTAAACAAAATATAAACAGAAGTAAGAAGAAGCTATATAGAGTACGGAAATATGTGTATAGCATGGGGTAAGAATGTACTACATATATGTATGTTAAACTATAAAAACACTATTACTAGACTAGCGAATACCCTTTGAAAGCTCAGAGTCTACTCATTTTAAAAATTAAAATTAAATGTAAATTATATTGGTAATGAAATATTAACGAAATGTGGAGTTTATCTAGTTTCTAGAGGGAATTTTATTGAATGAAGTATGTGCATAAAGTACATCAGAAAAGTAGCTTAACAGCTTTAAGTCATCTGCTCGGATTTCCCTCCTGAATATACCCTTTTGTGCGCTTTAAGTGCGGGTAGCCAAAGTAAAATTAAATCAACAGCCGCACAACGATGAAAGGCCATGGGGAATCAACTGAAGGTGCGTGGTGCGTGGTGCGTGCCAAATGTTCCGTGTGTGTTTCTTTGTGGTTGAGAAATATATTTAAAATTAACAAAAACACCAAGTGACATTCATTACCAATGCGCAAAGCTTAAATCCTTTGATCAAGCACAGACACAAGCACAGCAAGTCGCCAGCTGTATAGATGATGAGCATCATGAAGTTCTTCTGATATGGCAAAGACGACAACAACAAAAATCCAATGTTTTTTTCTAAGACTTCCACTGTCAACTGTAAGTTGTGCATGCCAAACACTTTGACATGCATCCAAGCCAAGTCCGCATGCCAAATACTTGTCAAGTGCACTAAGCTCAATTTGGATGTCTAGACCTTAAAATGTGGGCTTGAAATATAGATGATATGAAAATCAATGGTATCAGGGTATAAGAAGGTTTAATCATATGTACTTAAATATATTGTAACTAAACGTGGATACGAACCCAGAACCACAGGCTTGCCCGGCGCAGCCTCTACCCCTAACCCATGTCTGCCATCGCTCAGTTGCTGCAGTTAGAAAGAGAGGGGAGTACAGAACATTCAAGAGAATTACAATTGAGCTTTGTTTAGACTTTAAAAAGATTTATATTATTGAGTTGAATAGTTGCATTAAATATGATTTCCCTGAATTGCTTAAATGGAAATTAAATGAAAGGCCGCACGGCATTCGCAGCATGATTGATGGACAAAGCGATGATGATGCCTGTTGGCTGGCTGTGCGCTTCAGACATCAAACATCTAAGCTCATTACAAAGGTAAACATTTTAATTTTGTGCACACATTTGCACAGCCATCGTCCGCCTCAAGAAGAAGACATGGCACGCTCTCAGCCGGGATGTCATCCTGCCAACAGCTACAGTCGCCCACACAGCTATCCCACAGAAGTTTAGCAAACTTTCAATTGAATTTGAACCAAGTTTTGCAATGCTATGTCAAATGCTGTAAAAATTTAATTAAAAATTTCTATCACCTAACATAAATAACATAAAAAAATCATAGATGTTGGAGTAGCACATTTATTTGCTGCTGGGATGAACATAAACTGGTATGGAACGTCCTAGAGGGATCTTTCAGAATATTCTTTTTTAATTGTTTAATTTTTGCTCTTATATAAAATATTTATATCAATTCAAATTATGTATTTATCTTAAATTTATATTTGCATATGCAATTTATTTTTATACTTTTATTAACATTTAAATGCATTTTAAATGCACTGTTTCACCAATTTTAATGTTAGCTTGTGTGTCCTTAGTTTTAAGTCCAGTCAGACTCCGTCAGCATGTCCTTTGTCTCTTGTGCTGGTGTTGAAATGAGATTTTGTGTTATCAAGTATGCGCCGTGTGCCCTGCGCCCAGTCTAGCGTGCCTAGCTGCCTAACCCGGTGCCTGGTCTCCGAAAAGGTGTTCATGCATATTTAAAAACTTTACGTGGTGTGAAGTGGAGCTTGTTTGTTGTGCCAGCCGCAAATCCATTCTGAAATTGGCCACCTTGCGAGGTCCAGAAAGGGCAGCAACAAAAACAACAAGTCGAGTGTAAAACTTTTTCTGGGACCATGGACACCTCCCCGCCCAACATTTGACTGCCGTCTGGGCCCGAGTGTCTCATGTGCCTGGCACATGGTCACATAATGGACCCATGTCAAAATTTAATGTGGTTCTTTTTGTGGTGGGTCAACTTTGCATATATGCCAAATAGCTGACCGCAGCTTTTTGTTGTCATTGTTGCTGCTGTGTGAAAGGCTGTAGAAGACGACGAGACGCTTGTGTGTGATGTCACAGTTAATTGATTCGCCAAGCCAACAACTGTGCAGGCGCATATTAAGCTGGCATTAGGCTTCTACAGCAAATAAAGGACAGAAAATATTTAAATATTGCTGGCATATGCATGAATTTACAGTTCATAATATTTATAAACTTAATCCGTAATCGGAATTCATTTCAATTAAATAATTATTACCTATGAGCAAGCTATGCCCCATATAGACAATTCGCTATGTTCAAGGGGTGCGAGGTTTAGCTGCTCTTAGACTGTTTTCTCTCTTATTTAAATGGCATTTAATCTGACTCTGATATGGAATTCAATTTAGCCCGGCAAATTATTAATTATTTTTACAGTGTAAACATATTTGTTTTTCTTATTTTTTATTTTTGCCTGATTGAATTTGTTTCATATGCCAAAATATTTTTAATTGAGTTTTTAAAATGTTTCACACACAATCATGTTAACTGAAATGCAATTTACTTAACATAGCTTATGTTTCGAATTTCTGGTTATTTTTTTCATTTTTTTGCTGTTTACTATGAATTTAATTATTTGCTTTTATTTTGGTCCATTAAACGCGCCTGCCCCAAAAAGTAGGCAACATAAATTGAAAAGCGCCGCGTTGCAAATGCAAAACTAGATGCAACGTGTCGGGTTGGCCTAATTGCTGGACAGACTCTAATAGCATGTCATACACACACATTCACACACACACTCTCACACACACACTCTCACACACACACTCTCACACACACACTCTCACACACACATCTCCATTTGCTGCCTAATAAATGGCAGCACAAAATTTTCGCTACCGCACACGAATCCACATCGGTCTTTTTTTATTATAGTATATGTTAAAATTCAAGATATCTGCATATGCACACATGCATAGCCTCTTTGGTCTCCATTTTAGACAGTTGTGCCGCATAAAAGTTAATTAACGCTGCGGCCACGTTCATCGCATTTGCGGCCCGATTAAAGCCGACCGAAATCAGTTCAAAATATCCATGGAAATGGCAGCAGAGAAACGCGAGTTTAGACTGCAGCGCCTGGCTCAGTTCAAGAAATAGCTGCGGCATTATGAACTACTTTAATATATGTTTAATTAGTTGTTCAACTGTTGCAAAGCTCCTACATATGTGAGCTGTTAGCCTGGCTGTCGAATCGTTGCTACTTTACTATTTACTCGAACGAAGGTTAAATGCTTTTTGTTTGCTGACGTTTTAAGTCTGCTGATTATTAATTTTTTTTGGAATATATTGCAGTCTGTAGACGCAGAGGTCCGTATATTTAACATGGTAATATTCGAGTTGATCTTGGCAGCAGTAAGTTCTGAATTTGTATATTAGATAAAGATCGACTGAAAAAATCTTGGCGGAAAGACCAAAAGCCGAAACAGTTTGTATTAGTTAGGCAACTAGTCTGAGACCTTCAGAGACCTTTGCTCACTTATCAGTTTTGGAAATCAATATTTCAGTGCTACATACTAACGGATTGTCAATAAGTCACATATATATGTGAGATATATATATGAATATGTCAACTCAAAGTTAATGTGACTGTGTACAGGGTATCGCCTTGTGCTGCAGCCCAGTTTAGCTGTGATTGTTGCTTTCAGCGAGCGAAAATAAATTATTCAAATTAGTTCTCGTTTTGCATTGAAAAGGGTTTGATTTGTGGGCGTTGGACGATGGGCAAAGGTCGGCTGGCTGCTGTCTCTACAGCGGTTACAGTTAACCGGTATTCTGGTTAACCAAAGATGGTTTTCCATTTGCGGTCGGCCTGACCAGATGTGCCTGGACTTGTGTGTGTGGGTGTGGAGACGCATGGCCCAGGGCTTAATTAATCTGCAATAGCCTGAATGGCTTTTGAGTTTCGGTGAATAAATTTAGATATTTTTAAATAAAAATTTAATGAAATTAAAATAGTTTTTTAACAGCGTAAAAAGTTCGCAGAGCTTGCCATTTATGCGCCAAACTCAAATACACAAATATTTATTTATATATTTTTGTTGTACAATATAAAAATCAAATGTTAAAAATAAATTGATAAAAAATTATTTGCTGTGCATATTACTTGAAATTTGATTTGCCAACGGAAATGCATGTGGTTTATTCATGGCGCCATTTGAGCTTCCTGTCGCGATAAACTTCGCAACTGGGTTAACTGAGCAGCGAAAGATAGAGAGTGGGAGAGTGAGACTGATAGAAGGTGTCGGGCGTTATCCAGGCTTAACTCCAAACAACGGAGTTCAATTTTGTCACACAGCTTACGGCTAATGGAAAAGTCTTTTAGCAAACCTGACCTCAAGGCAGCCAAGCAGATGAGCTCAAAAACGAAAACAAAAAAAAACCAAAAGCGCTGTAACGTGTGCTGGCAGACTGCATGGATGCAGGTGTGCCCCAAAAATTGCAATTGATGTCCAGGACTCAGTTCAGCTGGCATCGGTTCCAGCTGACCAGCCAAAGTGTTTTCATATGTAAGAAAGGCGGAAGGTAGAACGTGTACTAAATTGCATGCAAAGTGTTTGCCCGCCGGGACGATGGTTAGTGTCCCGTGTCCCGTGTCCTATGTCCCGTGGCCGGTGTCCCATGTCCTGTGCCCTGTCCAGCCCAATTCAAACCAGAAATGAGCAACAGTTCGTTCTGGGCCGAAAAGCGGCTTTCCAGCGTGGGCCGTCCAATTGAAGCTGGCGCAAGCGCAATAACAAAAACAGTATAAGATTGGGGATTGGGGAGAAAGAAGTGCTGCGAAGGCAGTAGAAAGTGTAGTAGATTTAGTAGTAAATTTTATATGAAAGGATAGTAGACATTGAAATCTTTTGTAAAAATGCAGTAGAAATTCTTGGGAAATATTAAAGGTAAT